ACTAACACAAGGATTCCGTAAACCGCCATGTTGGTTGGTCCCCAAGGTTTGCTTATCTTCAGCCGGCACCCCTTACGGCCCACAGTTTATCTTATTTAACTCGGATTCAGGGGTATGCATATCCGAATCCTTCTGGGATGCCAGCAAACCGTTTTATGTAACGTGTGCTGAATCAAAAGTTCCTCCAAGTACAGAGGTCTATGTTTTATTACATTTTGGTCTTCACACAGATGGCACAGATTGGCTGAAATGACATGGTGTAACCATGTCGCTTATTACTATGCTTGAAAGTGCAAGGAATCACTACAATTCACACAACGCGAAGTACGAACATGAAGGCTGGTACAATTCAAAATTGACTGAACCCTAAACATGATAACGACCCTGGTCGAAAATACACTCAACATATATTGAGTGTACACCCATTGTGATTAGTAACCTGAATGGTCACATATGTAAAGAATATTTAGAGTTAGAACCACATGCTATCTATCGTGCTGATTATAGTTCACATCAGTTTCATGCAAGAACATCGTATCTTGAAACAACACTATATTTAAATAAAATAATGTTATAATGAATAGAATGTACTGGAAAACAAAACAGTATTACTCTGAATATTCATTAACTTGAATTAAAAACGGAATTAATGTTGAACAAAAATCACAATAAGTTAAAGAATACAATTTTGCCTTTCCATTCAGTCATATGAATAAGACCTATATCCCAGAAACGCACGTTTAAAATAATTCTTACTTCCTTCTCCATTCCTTGCTAATTCATGTTACATTACTGTGCACCTCCCAATACGTATAGGTTAAGTAAACCTAACGAATTATTTGTACCAGCTAAATATCGTAATAAATTAAGACACCTGAAGAAGTGTTATTTTAAGTCAAACAATTCACGTTCGTTGCATCAATAACTATAATTTTCAACTAATTAAAGAAAATAGGAAGTTAAAAACCATTAATGAGGAGTAATGGATAGTGGCTAGCAGTGGAATCCATGACGCGCGTTTCGTCCTATTCGGGACTCGTCAGCTGGATGTACCTCATCTCAAAGTTGATGTTCAATATGCGACTCGAACTCAGTGCCGTTCGCTTCAAACGCCATCGCGTTATCCATTCAGCTACTGATTCCTGATAGCCACTTGCTTGTGCAATGGAGTGAATTTTAAATTCGCTTGTTGATTGTTTGAATCTTTCCATTGATGTTTAGGAGTCCCAAATAGGACGAAACGGGTGTCCTGGATTTCACCGCTAGTCACTATCCATCTTTACTTATAATGCTTGGGAATTAAGACTATATCGTGGCAATACAGACAGTATGCACATATGCCAATAAGAGACTGACCAATTGCAGTCCTTAACATCAATGGGAAGATTCAAACAAATAATACTAAGTGCATTAATGAGGAGCTTTTAGCATTTAATAATATCGCAAAAGTACAAAACTTAATTTTCCTTTACAATAAACACATTGGAGCAACTCAAAATATTGATGTATTATGCATCTCGCGTAATGGCGCTTTTATAAATGACTAAAACCATTGCAAACCTTTCCAGTGATATTTTTGTGAACAATAATGAATTCCTGACTAAAGTTGTTCAAAAGTCATGTATGTGACTGGTAAAGTAAATTATATCTCCGCCTTATGCCTAGGAATTAGTAAAGCTATAAATTCCCTTAAGGTTTCAAACGGTCATTTCATCCTTTCTCTACAATTATAGTAGATCAGATATTTCACTTCTTCTAAAGCTGTTCACTCACTCTCTCTCTGGAAACAGGTACTTACCTTTACTATTGAAAAACTGCATATAACATACCACATTACAAACCTGGAGATAATACGTACATGAATAATTATCAACGCATCAATATTACTCCATTTATACCTGAGATAATGAAAAGAATTGTTGGTGACGAACTCACGAACTATTTACTCACTGAAAAACTCTTCAGTGATTCTCAACATGACTTTCTTGAAAATTGATCTTTTATAACCAGCCACTTTGACCTTTTTAATTTGGTCTTTGTTAAACGTAACGGAGGATGTATAATCTTAGAAATATACTTTGATATTTCTAAATCTTTTGACATATTTGTGCTCCAACTTCTTATAGGCAAACTCGTATCTCACTGGATCAAAAACCCTGTGCATGCTTGGAATCATATTTTCCTTATCCACTAACACCATATAGCCGAAATGAACTCCTCCTTGTTGGATTCTGTTCCGGTCAAAAGTGGTGTAATGCAAGACGGTGTCTCAGGCCCTTTGCTCTTTTTAGTTTATATCAGTGATATTTACAACTGTTCTTGTATGGGCAAGCCTCTTCTGTATGCAAATAACCTTAAAGTAGTGTACTCATTTTCTCCCCATGAGGTGAACAAAATGCGAAATTGGATAAATACGGGGCTCAACAAGGTAACTCAGGGATGCTCAAAATAATAGTTGGAGCGTAACATGGCTAGATATGCTTCAGTAATACATCAATCAACTTAAATCTTACCATAAATGGTAAAGTGTTATCTAAGTTACTTAGGTACTCTTGAAATTTGTTCTCCATAGAACGGTTCTCGGAACAGACTTCCATTACCCAACGTCTATTGGTTACATAATCTCTATAACAATGAGTCAAGTAGTTTGATGTATAAAGTGTGTGTTCGACTACTCCCAGAATATTGCATGTTTAATCTTAGTAATGTTCGTATAAAGAATAAATTAAGGTTAGAATCCGTTTAGAGACAATTTATTAGCTTTGATACAAAAAGTTTGTGGTACAAATCTGAGTAGACGAGAATCTCCTTGATAACTAAGTTATATAATATTACCGAACTAAAAACCAAGGACCAACCATCTTTGTTGTTTAATCCTGAAATTATTTGTCATAACTGTTGAATTAATTAGTTAATAGAATTATTCTACAGACATAAAAAAATTCATTAATGATAAAAAACCATTGGTCATCAGATTTATTTCCCCCATGGTTCGGAAACAAAGGTATTCAACGCTAAGCTTCACTAAGTTCTGATTCCTCTAAATATTCATATTTGCAGAAAATTCATCGTTAAATCCCATAATAATTGTTAGATATAAACGAATAAGTGAAAAAAGTAGAATTTCAAAGAATATGCTAGGAATTACTATATATGTCAGAAGGGGGTTTTGTGGAGATTTTAGTAATATTATATAGTTGAGATCATGAGTTAATTGAAGCTAGACCACCATGGAAAACCTAGAGCACTGGACAGCCATTTTGTCCTATTGCGGGACTCGTCAGCAGTGCGCATCCACGATCCCCCCGCCTCGCGAGATTCGAACCCAGGACCCACCAGTCTTGCGCCAGAGCACTTAACAGATAGACCACTGAGCCGGCATCCAATGGTGTTAATGTCCTACCTCAACCAATCCACGAATCTCGTGAGGCGGGATCGGGGATGCACACTGCTGAGGAGTCCCACAATAGGACGAAACGGCCGTCCAGTGCTTCCAGGTTTTCGATGGTGGTCTAGCTTCAATTGACTCATGATCTCAACTATATATATATATATATATATATATATATATATATATATATATATATATATATATATATATATATATATATATATGTTTATTGTGCATTAAATAGATCTTTGTTTTGTGGTATTTATTTCGTGTTGTCCTCATTATAAGTTTTTATTCAATTCACCAACTGTTAAGATATCTTTTAATGCTTAAGAATTACAGTTAGAGAATTATATATCTTTTACTCAGTTTGTACCACAGATGACTTAGTTATGTACAGATTGTGATTCTTTATTTATGGTAGATTGTGGTGTCATTATTGATACATATTATCATATGATTCATAATACTGCGAACAAGGTCGGCTAGCTTTCCTATTTTCTGATTGGGTAGTTTGTGGACAGTAAGGATTTGAGTCAATCAATGAGCGTCAGAGAACTTGGCGAGCATAATGGTTGAATTAAAGATCATTAATATAGGTGCTATAAAACGAATCTCAATCATTTGGTGATTCTACTGAGTGAATCTACAAATAATACTATTTCCCAATTGATTGATCACGAATCCATCAGGGAGCACAAATTCCCTCAAGATTACAGGTATACCTTGCTGACGAGTGTTAGGTAGCACGAAACTCGGGTCCAGGGTTTCCTGTTGACCACCTCCAACCACCATCATATCTCAATACTATTTCCCATATAAATATCACTTCAAAAAAAGATGATACAAATATATAAATGGCGCACTTTGTTTGTTTTCTTCAAAAATCATTTCAAACTTAATACAAGTAGTTAGTAATAAATATATAATAAACAATAACCATTAGAAAATAGTTCAGAAAGGAACAAAACAAATGTGACCAAGTAAATTATACATATTTACAGAGAAAAAAAAGAAAGTAGGACTTTAAAAAAAAAGTGAACTATGAACTTTGACCATGGAATAGATACCATGTCACATATCATCATAATTTTGAAATAAATTGAAAAACTGAATGGACCAAGCAGACAACTTTTTGAATATGGGTGATTTGAAATTTTTTACAAAAGGGGGGGTATTATACTTGAAACTTGAAACAAAAAAACAAACATATTAAAGTATGTAGAAGTTTTGTTGCTAAGCAAAAAAAAGAAATACAAAAGAGAAAAACCCATGAACAACAGTCAGTCAGTCAGCTACAACGTAGGACCATGAACAACAAGAAAGATGATGACAAATAAAAAATATAATCGATATTATATATGAAAAATTATATTTGAAATAATCTCAGCCATTGAATTTTAAATCATTTTCAATGTTTCGTCCAGCTAACTTGTCTGGACTTCTTCAGGATAAACATTTTTTTTCATATAGAAACAAGTATGAATCAATGAATGAATGAACGAAGGGGATCTGAGTTAAGTCCTAAGCGTAAATGTAAAGTTCAATGAATTGAATAACCAAATAATAATGTATAATACTATAGTAATGAAAATGATATTGGTTTAATTTATATTTTTGATTTGTTTAAATGAATATCAGGATTTAAACTATGCTCATAACATAATGCGGCAAGTTCAAAACAGAATTCATCAAAAATAATTGAAGCAAATACTAAATTACGTGTTTTTATTGTAATATCTGTAGTTGGATCTGAATAAAATGGATTATCATTATTAGTATTGTTACTACTGTTTTCATTACCAATGGAATGATGAACATCATTTTGATCTTCTTCATCAGATCCTGAATTGAATAGTTTAAATTTGTTATTGGTATAATTTTGATTAGAAGAAGAAGAACTAGATGTACGACTACCATGTTGAAGGGATGCACGTTTTAATACTGGACTTAAACCAATACGACTTGTTAAATTTAGAAATTGATTTACACGACTACGACTTCTATGGCGTAGATTTAAATGAATACTACCACCACTGATAGAACTACGATGTAAACGTTCTGAATTCGTTTTACTGTCATTATTCACTGGTAAAGAATAGGTAACAGGTAATAATGGAACTACATGTTGAAGTGAATCTTTGTTTATAGTATTCAAAGGTGAATAATGATTTGAATTTTCAGGAAGACAATTTCGTGATAAACAGGAAGAAATGTTTCTCTTATCCTCAGATACACCTAAATAGAGCAAAGAAAAATAGATTGGTATTAGTTTTCCAACTTTTATATTTATTATAAATCGCATTTAAGCAGGAATACTGTACAAAGTATTTAGCTAATACAGTGACACGTTAAATAAGGGGGGAATTGAGTGATACCTAGAGTCTTTGCTGTGAGTGTACAGAATCCCACATACTCTATGTATGAATAAACCATCCACTAATTCTTCTTAAACCATAGTCATTACCTCTAACCTTACAAATCTTTGCTTCCACCTTTTTAAACTTTCGCCTCAAACTAAAATAATCTTGTTCTCAAAGACTTGACGAGTATATTTCATTTCCAAATTTATTCTGTCACATTTTACAAGCCAATTTTCTTGATTATTAAGGGTTTGAAACTTTTAATTAATGGTAATTAAGGACTGCAATTGATCAGCTACTAACGGTATCATAAGTTAACTGCGTTGTATAGCATTAAGTCACAAGTTTTAATATATTTAGTATGTGAAAAGTAGTGATATCCAGAACGCACAGGTACACCCAGCAGACGAGTCTCAAACAGGATGAAATGTGTGTCGTGGACTCCGCTTCTTGCTGCGACTCAACTTTGCTTTAAAAAAATTTGGATGTTTCATTATAAAGAATATTTCCAATATCTTTTAGACATTGCTCGGTCATTATCTACCTCAAACATATAGAACTGGCTAGCATAACAATAAGTTCAAAACCATCAAAGGTGATCATCTATTCATAAGCTCATTTAACAATGAGACGAGTCATATCAGAAAATGTAAACCACATATTTGGGAATCATGACAGTTGTAAACTGGGGTTAGAAACCATAGATGTTATGATTTGAAATGTCACATTGGAGCAAGTACATTCATTCCTTTCAAAATGTTGAGAATATTAATTGCACTCAACTCTTTAATTATCCATGATTTGTTTCGAAGTATACGTCACATTTTTGCCTGACCACTGTCATTCAATTTCATCTGGATGATCTCTCCTCTCTCCATATATCCGTAATGCTTCATGCGGGTTGGTCAATCAGTGTGGATATCTCAGTCGTACAAAATGTCAATCACTCTCCGAATAACTCAGTGGTAACGTCTCGAACTGTGAAACTAAGTGACTCGGGTTCTAAGCGACTAGAGGTCATCCGATCCCTCAAGATTACACGTACGCTTTGCTTATAAGCACAAACTAACACGAAACCCATGTTGTATAGAGTTATCGAAAACATGATGTGAAGCGTCTGTCGTTTCGAGTTGTCGATGCATGTTTCTATCAGATATTACCGATTAATCAAATATCTTTCGGAAATATACATTCCCAATTAAAAGTTAATAATTGTAAATCACTTTGAACAAACTAGTATCACTGAAACGCTGTGGTCATTATCGATAATAAAATGGTGGATATATTCCTAAAGAACACTAAAACTGTTGAATTACACAAATTCGCACACTGTTAACATACCTCTTTTACTATTATAAGTAGTATTTGATTGATGCTCTGTCGTTGTTGCCATCATTTTAGTTTTATTACGTTGTGAATTCTCTCTTGTTGTATAAAAATTTGGATCAATTTTCATCTTGAAAGGACCTGGCCAGACAATATTTAAATAAACACGCGCACGAAATACAAGTGATTTCCACTGTTCAACAGATTCCGAAGCGACTACAATTTGACTGTGCACAGATCGGAGCACCTGAACACGATGGATAATGAAGAGTGATGCACAGAGTTTAAAAAGATGTAAGGAAGTTGAACTGACAAAAATATTTTAATAAACATCAACAGCCCTGTAGCAAGAACTAAATACTTGGGATACTGAATCGCCATACATTTGGTTGAAGTTAAAAATGTAAAACCTCGGATGATTGTCAAGTAAGCGACGGTAGGCGTATCCAGTTATGAGATTATTTTATTATGTAAAAAAGAGTGCACCCTACGTTTACTAATTTCTACTTTGTATTAATAAATTTACATTCTGATCTAATATGGTACTTTGTTATTAGTCAGATAACTAAGTCGAGTTTGCCAAGCGATCTAGCATGATGATCAATCTAGTGTCCCAGTGAAGGTCAGTCAAATTAGGTTCTTTTTCGTTACAACACTAACTAAATAGCCGCTATGCCTTATTGCAAACTTAACAAGTAAAAGTACACACGAATGTGTCAGGCTTCGCTCAGACAACACTAGCTGTAGTGAAATTAGATGTTTAAATCACATGGTAGATGGTTCAACTCAACGTAGTACCCTATCCCTAACGCTGACATCGCTTAATCAGTGGTCTCAAAATACACTGGCAATGTTTAGAAGTCATTTATGATCGAATACTAATAACCTACGAATATCCTCTATTCTTAGTGGTCATGTCCCGACCGTTGCTGCTACCTTGACGTGGTGGTCGGGCTTGCCTATCGTGATGATCCAATCGAGCTATGCTGGCTGGAACAATCGTTCCTCGAGGTCCTACCATGCCAGACAGGTCGGTTGAAGAGCGGTGAGACTAAAAGCAGCAAACCCAAGGTCCGAAGGCGAAGTCGTACTGCTGACTGTACAGAGGTGTGAAAGCAGTAAGGTGTTTCCTTCAGACAACCAGCATGACAGCGATGCTGCCTTCCCACAAGGAGGGGTGGGGTTAGAAAAGGTCGACCCTAAAAATGCACACCTCGCCTTATCCCACGGATATCCGTCTCCGGCGGTAAGGTTTTTTTTTAAAGAACGGAGCTAACACAAAAACTACCCACAAAAAGGTCGTGTGTGACCGACCTCAAGCAGTTGTCCCTTGGGCACTGCGGTCACGCTCTCAGGTCATTAAGACCACTTCTAACCCAATTTCCTTTTCAGGTACCTCTAGAAGAATCCTTCCACGGTGTGGGCAACCGGGAAGTGATAACTGCCCTCATACCTCTAACAACACTCAAGACCACTGTATTCATAATCAATCTCCTTCTTCAAGTCCTACTACCTTGACTTTCAACACTAAACTTCCTCTCTCGGTTTCCTCCTCAAGTGTCACCATGGCCAACGATTCTAGTGCGCGAAACGCTGTCCCAGGTCTACTAAAACCTCGCTCCAAACTACACATTGGAGCCTTCAACGTACGTACTTTAAGTCAAATCGGACAACAGGCCTCCTTAGCTAAAACCTTAGAGTCGCGTACCATTGATGTATGCTGTGTCTCCGAAACACGCATACAGGATCCTAGTGTGGTCATTCACTTGACCTCACCTCGCCAAAATGGACAGCCAACGAAATACACCCTCCGTGTATCTGGCGACCCGTTGGCTAGTTCTCGTGGACTTGCAGGTGTAGGTATAGCACTAAGTACAAGGGCAGAACAGGCACTATTAGAATGGATCCCCGTTAACAGTCGCCTGTGTGCTGCCCGGCTAAATGGCTCCGTAAGAACTCGTAAGGATAGGGACACACGTCGTTGCCTTTTCGTCGTTTCTGCCTACGCTCCCACTGACTGCAGCCATGATGAAGTGAAAGATAACTTTTACAGAAAACTCTCCGAGCTTCTTCAGAAAGCTAAGCGCTCAGACATAGTAGTCGTAGCGGGTGACTTTAATGCCCAGGTAGGCAGCTTAAATCAAACAGAAAGACATCTAGGTGGGTGTTTTAGTATTCCGGCTCAACGAACCGATAATGGTGATCGTCTGTTGCAACTATGCTCAGACAATCGTTTATTTTTGGCAAGCACTAATTTTAAACATAAGGAGAGACATCGTCTAACATGGCGACCACCTGCACCAAACCAACGATGGACTCAAATAGACCATATTGTCATCAGTCATCGTTGGAGAGGCTCAATAGAAGATTGTCGCTCGTATTGGAATACTTGTTTAGACTCTGATCACGCTTTAATACGAGCACGCATTTGTCTGCGCCTCAATGGACGCAGGAAAAGTAAACTAAGAAGACCCGTTAGGATTGAACTGGAGGACGAGAAAGCCAAATGCGAATTCCAGAGACAACTGAGTTCACATCTAGGCAGTTCTGTAAACGAGACTGACCCAGATGCTGCTTGGAAAGGCATACGAACAGCTGTGGAAACAGCAGTAACATCTATTAGTCATTTAAACCATAGGGCTCCAAAAAACCAGTGGATTTCTTCTAAGTCTATTTCACTGATGGTTTCGCGTAAACTCATCCCATCAGGCTCTGAACATGACGAAGAGCGTAAACAAATTAGATCTAGGTTAACTAAAAGTCTAAGGAACGATCGTGAGCAGTGGTGGACAACGAAAGCAAAAGAGATGGAAAAGGCAGCGGCTATAGGCAACACCAGGCAACTATTCAGACTAATAAAAGAAACTGGAATTAAGAAGTCAAGTGTAAGTGAGACGATCTCGGAAAAAGATGGAACCCTTATCTGCTCTCTACCCAAACGTTTAGAACGATGGGCGGAACATTTTAAGGAGCAGTTTAGCTGGCCTTCAGCTACTGCACAACTACCCACTATTCCTAAAAAACCTGAATGGAACATTGAAGTAGGCCCCCCGACCCTACTTGAAGTTCAAAAGGCTATAGGTAATCTGAAACGAGGAAGAGCAGTTGGTCCTGATGGATTGGCTCCAGAGGTCTTTAAATATGGTGGTCCAATTTTAGCGATTAGGTTGACTAATATTCTGGCTAAAATCTGGGAGACGGATGTAATCCCATCCGACTGGTCACAATCACTGATTGTCCCAATATATAAAAAGGGGTCAAAATCATCCTGCGATAACCATAGAGGGATTAGTCTGACTAACATAGTATCTAAAATACTAGCCTCAATAATTATCAGGCGCCTAACTAAAACTCGTGAACTGCAAACACGAGAAAATCAGGCTGGCTTCAGACCTGGTCGTGGCTGTATCGACCACATATTCACCATTCGTCAAGTTTTAGAGCACAGACATGCTTATCGGCGTCCGACAATGATAGTTTTTCTTGACTTGAAAGCAGCATTTGACTCTGTAGACCGAGAGGTTCTGTGGCAGTGTCTGTCATTGAAAGGTGTACCTGAGAAGTACATAAACCTTGTGAGGGCTCTTTACTCGAACACTATCAGTCGAGTGAGAGCTTATGGCGAACTGTCATATGATTTTACAACCTCAAGTGGTGTCCGACAAGCCTGTCCACTATCCCCCTTTTTGTTTAACTTCATTATAGACCTGTTGCTGCAAATGACACTCTCGTCGACTGAGTTTACAGGAATTGATCTCCTACCAGGGGGACCACTAAGCGACTTAGAATACGCAGATGACATAGTCCTGTTTGGTGAAGACGCTGACAAAATGCAGAGTCTTCTGTTGGAACTGAGTAATAATGCCAGGATGTTTGGGATGCGTTTCTCCCCATCCAAATGTAAATTGTTACTCCAGGACTGGCCTGCGTCAACACCTGAACTAAGGATAGGGAGTGAAGTAGTCGAACGCGTCGACAACTTCACTTATCTTGGAAGTCTGATCAGCCCTAATGGGTTGGTGTCTGACGAAATCTCAGCACGGATTCAAAAAGCTCGTTTGGCTTTTGCCAACTTACGTCACCTATGGCGAAGACGAGATATCCGTCTATCAATTAAAGGACGAGTATACTGCGCATCAGTTCGCTCTGTTCTACTTTACGGCTGTGAAACATGGCCATTAAGAGTAGAAGATACTCGTAGGTTACTAGTATTTGACCACAGATGCCTTAGAAATATTGCTCGCATCTGCTGGGATCACCGAGTAAGTAATAGTGAGGTTAGACGCAGGGTATTAGGTAACGATGGTAAATCAGTTGATGAGGTGATAAATCTTCATCGACTGAGATGGTTGGGCCATGTGTTACGTATGCCTGAACACCGATTACCACGACGCGCTATGATGACTAGTGTAGGGGATTGTTGGAAGAGAGTTAGGGGCGGCCAAACCAAAACATGGCATCAGTGTTTGAAGTCACTAACTTCTAGCCTGAGCCATGTTGGCAGATGCAGACTACCTGGTTGGGGTCCGCGTGACTATCGTAATAAGTGGTTGGAGACTCTAGGTGACATGGCTCAGAATCGATCACAATGGCGTAGGTGTATACACTCTTTATCTTCCCTTAAACCTTGAGATTAAAATTGCTTCATATCTCTCTTCCTTCCTGTACTATATCCTTATATACAACCTTTCCTTATGTACTACCACCACTAAATTAATTACTTCTATGAATCCGGTGTTCATCTTGTTGTGCTAAAGAGGTATGGCAACTTGGACCGATGCATAAATGTGCCTGGTCCTACGTTGTAGCTGACTGACTGACTAGTGGTCATGTTTCAAACTCATAAAGTAAAACTGAGTGAACTGTCACACACCAAATTCGTCGCCACAAGTGATGCAAGTTGGTAAAAGCCAGTCGATCTTTTTGAATCCGTGCTGAGACTTCGTCAGATACCAGCCCACTAGGAAAAATGGAATTCTCAAGATAAAAGAATGAGTCAATACACTCAACCACTACACCCCCTATCACTAATTGAGGCAATGGCATAAAATGAAAGTACAGATGGATGACAACTTCACAGTAACACTTCACTGCTAAGTCTATCTATTTCCCTTCCAAGTAAATTGCTGAAAAATATCGAATGAATAAAAAAAACTATCTGAATAAATTGATCATCAAATAATAATGAATGGATATTTAAAACAGTGAAAAATTACAACTGAGCCGGCATCCAAAGGTGTTATTGTGTAACTTCAACCAATCCACGAAATCTGAGCAACCGTTCACCAATTGTCATCAGTGAGTTGATATCTCTACAACAGACTTGGTTGAACTCCACTGGTCACTGCTTCCCACTAGAACTCAAGGAAATATTTCTTGAAGTCAGTCACTAGTGAGCATATGATTATAGATCAGAAGGAGTTTTGTGGAGAATTTAGTATTACCGATCTATAATCATATGCTCACTAGTGACTGACTTCAAGAGATATTTCCTTGAGTTCTAGTGAGAGGCAGTGACCAGTGGAGTAATGCTGATGATTCGTCATGAGATTATGATGTATAGGGGTGTTTGTTACGAGCTCAGGTTATATTGCTTACTACCTTTGGGAGCAAATAGAACGCGCAATTAAAGAAAAAGATACATTTATTCATACGGATAGAAAAATATAGTAAATACTTGATATTACTTACTTTATAAAGAGTATTAACTGATGGTTTTATACTTAAACCAATTGGATTCAATAAGAATTCATATAATAATGGACATGGATAAGAGGCCAATGCAGCAAATATATCAGTTAGAAGGAGATTAGTAAAAAAGCAATTATTGTGCATATTAGCCAAACGATTTAAGAGTATGGACAGAAATGGACCTAGTATTTTAATGAAAAAAACAAACAAACAAATGCATAAACCATAGTACTTAAATAATAAAAATGAATGTATTTTACAGTGAGATAGTACTGTGGTGTGAGCTACTTATATCGACATAAGTAGTATATATGGTGAGTAGGGAATAAAATATCTGACAGCAGAAGATTGAGATCAAGAAGAGAACAGAAATAAAAAGAAATTTGTGTGGAAATCCAGGAACAATGAAGCCTGAGACAATTGAAGAACATTTTGCAAGTAGAGTATCATAGTATGGTTTTTGCATTTTACCAAGTAACGTAATTCGCACTAAGCACATAGTTGGTTGTCCTCACCTGTGTTCACATTCACAACAGTAATGTTGGAATAAACGAAAACTCAGGTGAGAAAAACCGCAAAATCACACAATGACTTGATAAAATATGGGAATCATACATTAACTACATCATTTGCGCATCTTTGCGTTGAACTTTACTGTAGTATCCCGTTGGGAATTATGGATGGTAACTTTGAGAACTATCTATGGACCAATATGATATGCATATTCCCCATTGTATAGTTGTTGAGTAACTAAACTATTCATATTCGTGTCCCTTTTATTTTGACCCATAGACTATTATTATTATACGATTTACCATTCTTGAGTTATCCCCAATCTATTGATTACTATGCCCCCTATTTACAGCCACTTTTGGCTAATTCTTGTACAAATGTTATTTCCTATTTTATGGTACGATGTGGTCAGTTTGTTTGGTATATAAACCCAATATGTTTGAGAATAATGATTCATATTGCAGAGGTTGTTATTGGTGTTCTGGACTCAACTGGCTGGGCTAGGCAGATAGCAGGGCCGATACGCACTCTAGACTGCTCGTATGGTTTTCGTGTGTCACTGTCCCAATCGATAATTCGCGGCTCTCTGATTGGCGGTCTTATAACGTTCATATAAAAACAGGGCACGTACGCACTCACACGTTATAACATTTACACGCTCCATTATTCCCCCTAGTTCTGTCGCTATTTAGATTGCTCTCCGATTTCCTTCCTGTTCTCTTCATTTCAACCCTCTACTAACACACATTTCACTTCCTATTGCCGTTATATACTATTTATATCTATCAACATAAGTAGCATACGCCATACTGTTACACTATTTTGCAGTTAGAAGCTTTAATATTTCATTATTTCTTTGTTGTGAGATGTGGTGTCTGAGGGTTGATAGTGATACATAATCTTCCTATGCACAAGTTCAACCTATTACTTAAGTGAAATTACTGATAATGAGAAAGTAAATTTGTTGATTAACTGATTTGGCATATATATTAGGAAGTTAAGCCACTGAAAATGCATTTCTCATTCCTCAGGAATAAAAGTCATTTTTTGACCAATCACGTGTACTTATCATTTTAGCAGATTTCTGATTGTCCCAATGCACCGTTAGTCATAGGCAACATAGGAATTTGAACAAATATGCGTTAGCTCAAGTTGTCATATGATATTGGTATGTTGAGATAAAACTAACAAGATAAATCGCAAAAAGATTTGAATAGTTTAGTAGAAACGACTATGAAAGGAATTAAACATTAGGAATATGGTACGAAAAGGTAAAATGAAAAAGCATATTTGAAAGAATAGTGGAATTCGAAATCAAGAGGAAGATAGAGAATGTACATAGGCAGTTATGAACAACTCTGAGTCAACGTTTCCAACCACTAGTCGCGAGGACTCTAGCCAGATAGTTTGCATCTAAGAACACGCCTCAAACTATCAGTCAATAACTTCATGAACTGATCTTAAGTCTTGATTCGTTTCTTTTAACTTACTCATACACCACCTCGTCAAGTTAGGCAGTGATTAGGCTTGTGTAATACATCTCCTAAACACCTGATTTATTTACAATGACCATCATTCTCTTGAGTAAACATTTGATAATAGTAAACTCTATGAGTGGGATTTCGTAATATATGATAACACTCGAGTACGTTCCATCAGTAGTCAAGTCTAACAATTAATTCACTGACTACTTTTAGAATTAAATGAATTAATGTGCATTGACATATACTGATTATAAGCTCACACATCAAAGTAAGCAAAGACGGACACTGTGACAGTTGTGATAACCTTATTATAGTTACCTTGGAATTATAAATTTTCCTCTGAGAATCAAGAAGTTGACAGACTGGTTTTTCCAACTTAAGCTACAGATAGTCCTGAAGGGGTATTTTACATTCACATTTAATATCATATATTTGGGGATTTAATATCTCTTGTCCTAATTTACACCTACATTGCGTGGTCAAAATTTTCAAAGAACCACTCACATGTGCATTATTTAGTTATCAGAAAGGAGTTTTTGTGGAGATTGTAGTAATTTCATAGTTCAGTTGATGAGTACTGTTGTTTAGAGTGCTCCGTGGAAGATACAAACCATTTGTTGACATTTTCACACCTGTAATAACTACGACATATAGAATACATAACCTTCGATTACCGCGTTACACTTTGATAGTTAACATGAGGAGTAAAGCAGAACGGCTCTTAGGTGATTAGAATATGACGATGGTAGTTTATAAGGTTTTTGATGGCTGTCTCGAACCGTAAACATAAATCTATGCAAGGTAATTATGTACCAATGATCAAGGATTGTAATTGGTATATACTAAAAGTCACACTTGGATGTATCTTGGTTGTTCAGTGGTTTGAAGGTCTGATTTTTAACCAATAGTCTTTCGATTCAAATCCGATTAATGTAAGGGATTTATAGCGAGTGTTGAATTGTATGTCATTAATTTGATATCATCATGACATAAGTTTGAAATACAATCACCATCACCACACTTACCTATACCACCAGCGACACCAACTGAATTTGAATAATGTTTCGCAGATTGTGTCGATGAAGTTGAAGAGAAATCTGTTAAGTGTGAATGATTACTACAACTACTATGACTCCCTGAATTTTGACATTGTTGTTGGTGTATTAAGTCAAGTCTGTTTAATGATATTGAATCCAAGGCATCATTACATGATCGAACCATTAACGAAGACAATAAAGGAGATTGTAAGAGTTTAGATTTTGTTTCGGCATCATTATTACCCTCATCATCGTTATCACTACAATTATGATTAAGATTATCATTCTTAGTTACAGTAGTAGTTATTGTTGTACTACTAACAGTATCAGATTCAGTAAATTTCATTTTTGAATTTTCAAATTCATGTATATAATCATCCAATTTTTTAAAAAATTCTTCATCAATTTTGCTGTAAGAAATAAAAGGTGGCAAATGTCCAAAATGTTTTGGACAATGTCCTGGTGATGGTAAACAATCTAATGCAGCTAAAAAATTCTCTAATTCATATTCATGTTTTTCATTAAAATCAGTTTTGGTACACACTGTGGTAGTGCATGTAGCGAGATTATTATTATGTAATTCTATACTTGGATCTAGATGAGCTAATCTTAGCAAATCCGGTAATGTTGACAAACATGTACATGACGGTGTAAAATTTGTGGGTGTGAGATTACATGGTACACTAGAGCCTGTTTTATAACATCCCTCTTCATGACTGTCCATTTTTAATGTTGTCGATAATTCTGATGATTGTATTTGTGGCTGTTTATCGTCCATAGTTCTTGAATGAAATGATTCTGTTGAACAAGAATTGGATAACTGTTTATCAGTTGGCAAATATGAATTAATTGTCTTGTCAAGGGTATCAGTTTCAGAGATAGTCAACTCAGCATTATTAGTAGCGATAAGAGTTGTGTCATTATCAGTAGTATTTGAATTGCTAAGGTGTTTCATATTCTCTTGACTACTTTCATCATCTGATGAATCATTTATATAATTTAACTGATATAAAGATGAAGCATGTTTACTGGATAAACTATGCAATAACAATGGTGAAGACAATGATATATCATCACATACACTGTTCCATTCGTTTTTGCTACCATTATCGACTATGTCTGGCATAAATTTTGTACGATCTCTAGCTGATAATCCATTAGGCATTAAGTCCGGTGTTACACAACCGCTACTATTTGTATATTTCGACGAACGGATTGTTCTATACAAATCACAACGTGATCGTTTCTCTTGTAATTCTAATAAATAATCGTCTCTTACTGGTGATGCTGCTGATTGACTCCCTTTATTATTTTCAGTTATTTTTGGCCAATACTGTGAACGCCATGATTTACAAGCTTGACGTCGTCGTGATACACGCAAATTGGCATTTTTAATATAATTTATTAATTCCGGATAATTATTAGCCACTAAAATAGGATGGAGTGGTGTTGAACGAATAACAACCCATTCGTTGTTTAATGTTTTGTTCAAATCATCATCATTATCATCATCAAGTGATTCGTTATTAAAGTTGTTTGAACGATTTAAACTTGTTAAGGGATCGATTGTAGGCACAGAGTCTCCATGACCACTGAATATGACTTCTTTTGAAACGTCGCATAGTTTTTCTATAGGACTATTACAATGAAACAGAGATTGAAGATTATAAAAGGAGAACATATTATTATATATATAACATGTCAATTTTTGAAACAAGTAGTTTAGTCTATATTAACATTGTCTGAAGTAAAACTGTTGAACATAGACACCATTTTATCTTTCTTAGACATAGCTAACCCATAAAGCAAAGCTATATTCCCACCAACAGCTCTATAGAATAAGAGAATGATACTTAGACAAACATCTATTGAGTGTAACTGTAATTAGAACCTCTTTATAAATAAGGCAAAGAAATAAGCTTATTAAAATAATAACGAAGTAATCAGAGAAGTGTCTTAGGAAGTGAAAAAGTGAGATCCGACACCATCTGTTTGTCAAACATTGACACACTTAAAATAATAAATGCGATTTGAAATAATAAGGCTTATTAAAATGAGGTGATGATTAATTTTTTGAAACAATCTATAGCATTTGATCGCAGGTTCAAGACTGATAAGCTGGGCGAGTACAAATATCTGACGTTTCTGTGTTCACAAACCATTTCAGGGTCGAAAGATAGTTAGGAAGTCATAAATGAGGCACGTTATTGGAGGAGTTCGATTATGCAGTTACTCAATGTCTTAGCTCACATATCTTTGTTCGAGTACGAGGGATAATTAACGTGGTCTTATCCAATTCTTTGGAGCTGATGATCTCGAGTGCTGCTAGAGGTGTGAGAGTATTTGTCACTTCCCATTTGCACATACAGTGAAGAGATACTTTTCATCGAGATATATGAAAAAACTGAAATAAGGGTGACTTCGACTGCTTCGGAACGTGACTCCAGAGCTCGAGGGATAACTGCTTGAATTTGACCATTTATGACCTTTTCATGAGTAGTTTAAGATGTCCTAGCTTAGTACTTTTAAGGCTTTATCGCAGGTGACGGAAATTCGTGGGGTGAAGTGAGGCTTTTTATTTTTGTACAATCCACTTTTTCTAACCACTTCCTTCAGTTGTGAAGAGGTAGATAGAAAGGAAACACCTCACTGCTGTCAAACTTCTAAACAGTCAGCAGTACAATGTCATCCTCAAACTTTATTTTTTCTGCTTGCAGTCTTACAACTCTGCAACTAATTTTTCTGAGATCGCAGGACCTGAAAGAACGAGTAGTTCGGCCGACATAGTTTGATCGGTTCATTAAAACAGGTAAGCTTCAGTCCCAAGTAGCAGCTGAAGTCGAACTATTCAATAAAAAGAAGCATATGTCATCAAAAAAGTTAACATACCAGTAGGATATACTTGATTTTTGCCTCTTCCCATTCTTTAGTTGTGTAGTACCAATTTCAGAATTATCTTTTGTTGTTGACTGACATCTGGATTTTGAAAATTTATCATTACAAGATGATGTATTGGCTAATGATAAAAATAATTCAGCTGATTTAACAAGATGTGGGATTAACTGATCCACCGTAGGATGATAATAAGTAGTATGTTTCACGGTTGATCGTGGTGAAGTAGACCAAAGTAGTTTTGGTTGTTGTGTTGTTCCATTGTTGGATAAACATAATGCAGATCCAGTCAGTAGAGTTTTATGAAGTCCATTTGATGAAGAATCAAACCTTTCAGAATCTAAATGATTCAAAGCTAGTAAATGCCTAAGAAATGGAAGAGAATAGGAAGACCAGCGAGTCAGAAAGAGTGAAATTAACGATTTCAATAATATGACAAATAGATATGAGAATATGAACAGAAGATTATTTAATCTTATGATGTAATTGTTTATGAATTAGAAGTTCTAGTCAGTAGCTGGAATCAGTGGATATTATCCGACCTGAGAGCTGGACAATAACTCGCCAATTAGGTAGGACGAAACAAGTATTATGTTAACAAATAAACTTGATCTCGAGAATGTTTTGGATGGTAGGTACCGATTATTGAGAAGCTCTATTACATGGGATGAAATAAACTTTCAATACTTAGCAATTTTCAGCAGCGATTCAGTTGACATCATTTTGTGATATGAATTGTCTTCAAATCGTATAATTTATAGTAAAGTGAATGTCTACTATAAACTGTCAAACTCTTGAATACACTGGTGATGTATACCAGGTTTAATATAAATTATATATTCACTGAATCCAAGTGCAGAATAAGACAGATAGCTATTTAGTGAACGTGTTATATTAATGCACTGAAAGTAGTTTCAAAATAAGCTTCGAATAATTGGTTGTTGGTTTCAAATCTTTTATTCGTTGTACTAAAATCATAACATTATTTTCATTGGACTGAAGGTTATTCGCAACGTTTTCAGTGTCCAATAAGTCTGCTATATTCAGCATTTTCGGTCATTTTCCTATTTACTTAGCTGATGAGCTGTGTATATTTAAGTCTAATTTTCACTAAAGATTACATTTTTAGTTCTGACTACACTGACAGAAACAGATACATACTTCTAGACGCTTAAAGTGAAATATTCCGTGCAAGTTACTTATTTATTTATTTAAACACATAAATATTTGTACAAGGAAGCACCAGATACATATGCGCCGCACAAATCTCATTTAATTTGTGTGAGGGCTGTAATACTGCTCAGGGGCCCAAACTGAAGCAGGTGGTTTTCTTAGGGAGCCACACCCCGAGCCTTTGACCTAAGAGTCTGATTCACAAGGCAGTGCAGCATCGTGATGAGATGCACTCCCATGGTAGCCGGTGACCAATAACTGGTTCATTCGCCATTTGTTCCTTTAGGATACTGGAGCCCATGTGCACCATTGGTTTGGAATGAGGGTTTCCCAACCTTCAGTGTCCACCAACCTGGTTAAAGAGCCGAGCAGTCGCTTTTCGTCCTCTCAATTTCGTAAACGACATCCCTGCTGCGAGAAGGCAGTGAGTAGGACTTCCCTGGAAGAGGCTATATACGCGTGACCATGTGAGAGCATTTGGATAGGGAGAGCGGACTCTCCCCACTCTTTGCCGTACCAGGGCATTTGGGGGCTGCAAGTTACACTCTAATATGTAGAAAACACCGATGAAATAAACGAAAAAATTGACTACATTAAAGGATACAACACAATCAATCAACATTGAAAATGTTAGAGATAACTTTATCTTTTCTCTTATGTGTTATCATTACTACTATATATAATCTTACAAACGACCATTCATGAAATATGTAACAATATTTAAATAAGTATTATTTTTGTTCTTGCAATATAAAACTATTATGTTTATTTTCATTAGTTGTTTATAAAAAATCATCAACAATGATAAATGAAAACATGTTACCATATAAACAACACCTTCTAAAGTGTGTGTGTGTGTGCATAAAAATCAATTTGAAATCCATATCACAAAAAATGGAACACAAATGTCATTTGATTGTAAAGCACATGTCTTGTAAGAAACACATGATTATTATAATAGCTCTCAAGCTAAAAAAGTTATACATACCCTATACAAAATGCTAACCATCTTCTTTTTTTATTATTAAAACGAAAACATGTAGTAGATATTCTACATTTATTCAAAATATATGTATATAATTTACAATGATCACGGCCCGCAAATGCCCTGGTACGGCAAAGAGTGGGGGAGTTAGCTCTTCCTCTCGAAATGCTTTTACATGGCCAGGTGTATATAGCCTCTGTCAGGGAAGTCCTACTCACTGCCTTCTCGTGACGGGGGTGTCGTTTACAAAATTGAGAGGACGAAAAGCGAATGTCCGGCAGGAGCTTTAACGGGGTTGGTGGACACGGAAAGTCCACATAGGGAAGTTGGAAAACCCTCATTCCAAATCAATGGTGCACATGGGCTCCAGTATCCTGAGGGAACAAATGGCGTATGAACCAATTATTGGTCACTGGCTACCATAGGACTGCCTCTCCTTAAGATGCTCCACTGCCTTGTGGACTAGACTTTCAGGTCAAAGGCTCAGTTTGGGCACCTGGGAAGTATCACAGCCCTCACACAAATAAAATGAGATTCGTGGGGCGCATATATATCTGGTGCCCCTTTGTACCAATATTTATGTGTTTAAATGAAATAAAAAAATAAAACAATGATCACGATCATGATAACATTCAATGAGTTTCTAATAATAGTCCATTGCTATGACAGACGTTTATTGTAATGGGATGATTAATTGGTGAGTTAATTAATGAAATTTAATGTTATAAAAAAATAAACATATAAAATAAACTCCATTCAGACAAACAATGAGATGTATACATTACTGAGATATTAATTACAAGTTATGTTGATAATTATGCATATTATTAAATGTAAGATAGAAATCTTAGTCAACAAGAGAGAAAGAGCCCACATGATTGGACTTAGTCAGACAACTAGGAAGCACTGGACAGTAGATTGTCTTTAGTATGAGACTCCTTAGATCAGTCAATGATACTAACTGTCTATAGTAAGTAATTTAGTAATCCTTAAGTAAGTTAATAAGTAGTAACTCAAAATTATTTCATCAAGTGAGGGTCTAAAATAAATCTGAAGTTAGTTTTCCTTCAAAGACTAATTGATAAAATTTGGAAATGATCAACACGAAATACCACAACCAATTGGTTGAAGTTGACAAAAGGCGGATGATAATTGATATTCGACTCTATGTTCTACTAGTATAGCGGTTATCCTGAGATTTAATGATACTAGGTTTGATCGTGTATGAGATTGTGGCTTAGTGATACGAAAAAATATTCAGTGTAACCCCTACTAAAATCTAACATCAACTGTATCATGGTGTACACGAATTTCACACTGAAATATATCTATTTAATCGTATATTTTAAGAAATCTGAATTATCTTTCAATACTAGCAGAATTTAACAGCCAATGAGTGTAGATTTATTTGAGTGGTTCAGAAGGGATCAAATACGGACAACATGTAACTCCATTTTATAGCACTTGGTAGACAGTGATAGATAAAAGTAAATCACTCTGGGTAACCTACTATATAACCTCGTTTCCCGCCGACGTTCAGTCTTTTATTCTACATACAGCAGAAGCTCAATAGATCCAAAATAACAACCTGATTCTGAGTTCAGAGGAAATTTGTAATACGCCTGTCTCTTTCTTGTTCCGATAAAACTGAACAAACGATTTTACTTCACACATTCTAAGTTTGTTTATTTTTCTTCACTGCATTTTTTTATACTTATTCTTCACTATCCATATATCTGTACTGCTTATTTGCATACTTCTTACTATGCAATTTTTATGTTTGTCAATCACTTTTATATTTGTTCATTTTTCCAGGTTCATATCGGTTCGTGATCTCAGTAACATTTAATAGTCTCAACGACTTCATATATCAAACCCTGATAAAAATCTAATTGAATAGTAAGCAAAAATGGATAATGACTGGCAGTAGAATCCAGGACTCGTGTTCCGTCCTATTTGGGACTCGTCAGCTGGATGTACCTGCCACATCTCACAGTTGATGTTCACTCTGGGACTCGAGCCCAGTACCGTTCGCTTCAAACGCCATTACTTAATCCACTCAGCTACTGAGTCCTATCCTGATAGCCAATCGCAGTCCTAAACATCAATGGGAAGATTCAAACAAACAATACCAAATGAATTTAAATTTCACCCCATTACACAAGCAAGTGGCTACCAGGACTCAGTAGCTGAATGGATAACGCGATGGTGTTTGAAGCGAAAGTTACTGGGTTCGAGCCCCTTAGTGAACATTCAGCTGACGAGTCCCAAATAGGACGAAACAAGCGTCCTGGATTCCACTGCTAGCCATCATCCATCCTTGCTTATAATGCTCGTGAATTAATGCTATATCATTTTATTATTATAGATATGTGATAGGTCCACAACTCGAACGCTTGACATTGCCTCACTAGATCCACAGACTTCTCTTATACTTCAGCTCAGAATGGTAGGGAAAATACTCAAAGTAAGAAAAGAAGTTTTAATCCAAGATTCATAAATATACAAAAAAACGAGAATATTTGTAGCACTATTGGCAATCTATAATATCTGAAAGCATGCTAAATTAGGTAACAAAATAGGTAAATATCACAGTTATCCTTACCGAAAAGAACTAACATTTATTGACAAACAACTAAAAAACCCAAAGTGTATTCTACAGCAAAACCTCCACATTTCTCGATAAGGTAATCCATTTATTACTTGTTGGGATGATCCTGGAGATTTTTCTCAATAGACATGGCAAGCTCAGGGAAACATTAAGAAGCATTTTATCCAATCAGCGTTTGATTAGAAGTTTTGTTACAAATAACGCGAAAATGAAAAGTCACATGTAGAGATTCTGATTGGCTGATTACTACACTGCTACTATGTTTAGTAGTATTCTAGAATTTTCGGGAAAACCCAAGGGCTTCTAAAATACTATAAAAATCCTATATTCTCTGTACATAAACGAACCTATGGAGTAAAGTGCTTCTCGCATATTTTGTGCCTTTTCTCTCGTGTTCAAGTCGCTGTGTAGTTCTAGTTTGAGGGTACAAGACTAGCTTAGGATCCGAATATAGAGTTCAATCAACAAGACCTATCATTCTAAACTCCGAATAACTTAAATAGAGTAAATGAAGCAAAAATCTAATCATGAGATTTAATGATTCAAAATGACAGACAATTAAGTTGCACAGAAAGTGATTTTTGTGCACAAAACTTTGAGTCATACATATGTTATGTGAAATTTAGACACAACACAAGATTCAAATAAGTAGTCAAACACCCAGTAGGGTAAACAGTAAACCAGCACAAATATCTGTGAAAATATAGTTTATCGATGGTCCATAGCGAACGTTTGGTGTGAAAATGTCAGGATTCAAACAGTGAAGTTTTAGTATTCTCACTAAAAGTTATAATGATTAAAAAATTTATTAAGAGAAATGAATAAATCAACTCACTTGAATATTAACTCATACATAACATCTTCACAATGAAAGTTTAATATTGTACGAAATAAGGACAAAGTGACCATCCCAAGCTGAATTAAAAGGAAAATCAAGAAAATTTATGAACAGTTGTGGAGAAGCAACGATAAAAAAAGGACAAAACCAAACCAAATGTGTGTTTATTGAGTAGAAAACCCTCTTTCCAGGAATGAAACAACTAGAGTTTGCAATTTAATTAGATCAGGTTAGCAAACATTTAAAAACAGGTAGATTCATTTTTACCAGCGTTGATGTAATTACAAAACTTCATCAACTGATTTGGCGTCTTTACCTAGAATCTTATGCCTACAGGTTTCACTGTTCACTAGATCGTCCTACAATACATGAGCAATGTTTCAAAAACACTCGTGAATAAAAGCCGGCAGCCTACTTATTTGTTCAAAATTCATAGACCACGTTCCGCATCCGTAGGGTAATACAGAAGGAGCTGCTGAGCAATACACTCATCCTTTGCTTGACAAAAGTCAAGAGAGCTTTCGAGATCCGTTTTAAGATATTGTCAGACACTAACCTACCAGGGATGATGAGACTTTCTAGGTTAAGGGTTTCCAGATAATTACCTACAGTCACATCACAACGGTAAAACATATATAGTAAAATATAAAAGCCGACTAAGGAGAGGAAAGAAAGAAAGGTCATCAATTTTACAAAGAGTAAATTAGGAATATAATTAATTGCTTTTAAATTCTTGGATTATAATTGACTACGAAGAGAAAGTAAATATTACTACTGAGATATTTCTAGTTCTTAAATACATATTACTTTCTAAAAGAGTCTCGGACCAGATTCCCAGAAGAAATCATAAAGCTAATTTATTTTAATCGTTGAGGTTTTTAAAAATGTAAATTTACATATAATAACATAGCTACTAGGCGGCCTATGCTCTATTGGGAGTAAGAGGCGTAAGTAACAAAGCTACTAATATCTAAAACCAGATATAGAACGCAATTAAGATGATTATCAGTACATTATTGTAAGTGATGATCAACCTAAAGTAAGTGACCAATACATTAGGATCAGTCATAATTCTAGTTAAGAAATAGATACTTAGAATTTTAAAAAAACTTGTATAAATCTATAATAAATCTACACAAATTCAGCGTTCAGATATCAAACAAAGAGAAATATTATAAAGTCAAGTAAGATGGATACAAAGATGGTGGTTGGGGAGGTGGTCAACAGGAAACCCTGAACCCAGGTTTCGTGCTACTTGGTACTCATCAGCAAGGTGTACCTGTAATCTTGAGGGAACTGGTGCTCCCTGACGAATTCGATCCCGTGTCACTCAGCTTCACAGTCAGAGACGTTACCATTGGGTGGTGATCAATGTCATGCGTGTCAAGTCCGTCTTAGCGCTGATCGAATGCTATCGATCAATGGGTACAAATATATTTGTACATTGAACAAGAAAACAAAATGCATTCAAAAACATTTACACAACTAGTACTGTAAACATGCTCAATAGTAATAATAATAAATATATTAATGCAGTTGAATAAAGGAAAAGAAAAGCAAAAAGAAAATTGTCACAACAATAATCAGAATAGTCAATTACAATGAGTATCACTAAAACATGCAGCTATTCAACTTGCATTGAAATATATTAACACTATCATTTCTTAGTTGAAAGTATGAGTCAATTGAAACTAAACCACCATTGAAAACCTGGAAGCACTGGACGGCCGTTTCGTCCTGATGTGAGACTACTCAGCAGTGAGCATCCACGACCTCGCCTCGCGAGATTCGAAACCAGGACCTACCAGCATCGCGCTGAGGAGTCCCACGATGGGACGAAACGGCCGTCCAGTGCTTCCAGGTTTTCCTTGGTGGTCTAGCTTCAACTGACTCATGCTTTCAACTATGAAAATATTGAAATCTCCACAAAACCCCTTCTGACTATCATTTCTAATAAATATCTGGTAATTTTCAAACGAAGCATTAGTTTATGTTTTGAATTTGATATTGACCACAAAGGCAAGAAATCGTAAATTCAGTAGGTTTTAAACGTTTAGTTAATTATTTACTTATTTATCTAAACACATAAATATTGGTACAAGGAAGCACCAGATAAATATGCGCCGCACAAATATCATTCGATTTGTGTGAGGGCTGTGATAATACCCAGGTGCCCAAACTGAAGCAGGTGGTTTTCTTAGGGGACCACACCCGGAGCCTTTCACCGAAAGGTCTAGTCCACAAGGCAGTGGAGCATCGTGAGGAGATGCAGTCCCATGGTAGTCTGTGACCAACAGTTGGTTCTTACGCCATTTGTTTCCTCGGGATATTGGAGCCCATGTGCACCATTGATTTGGAATGAGGGTTTTCCAACTCCCCTAGGTGGATCCTCCACATCCAACAACCCGGTTAAAGCTCCTGCCGGACATTCGCTTTTCGTCCTCTCAATTTCGTAAACAACACCCTCACCACGAGAAGGACTTCCCTGGCAATGGCTATATATACGCGTGTCCATGTGAGAGAGTTTCGAGAGGGAGAGCGGACTCTCCCCACTCTCGGCCGTACTAGGGCATTTGGGGGCTAAAACGTTTAGTTAACCGATGTACGAGTAAGTAAATCAATGAAAGTTAGGAGTAGCCGAACTAAAGCGTGTTTTCAGTCCATGGACTTATTTACTATTGAATCAAGTCATGTTTGTGGATGCAGACTATCCAGCTAGTGACGGTGTAGTAGCCGAGATCAGTAGTTGGAGAAGTCCAGAATTAGCCACAATGAAGCAAATGTATATACAATTTATTTTACTCTAGATCCCTAATTCAAATACTCCTTCATATATACTTTCTCATTCTGTCTTTTATAAAAATATTCTCCATGTTCAACATATCACCATCATCACTGACACATTACTTTCATTATTTTCCTATTGATCTTATTAATCTCATCTCATTAAGCTAATGTTGTATGGCAAATTGGACCAATGAACATTTGTACCAGGCTCTACATTGATTATGACTGATATGATAAAAATTAATCGAACAATAAAATTTCTTCAACAAAATGATGAAGTCCCACTGTTCATTAGTCACAGTATGAATAAGTCATTCATTAACATGCGGCAAGCAAGTACTTCCTTAAAAGTATGATATTCAAGTAAGAAAAACTTCAGTTGAATGACTGGCGCACTAACAAGCAAAATAAAATATTTCAAAAGAGGAGACAGATTGAGTAAATATACATGTATACATATGTATGTAATGCAGAAATATCACTGATATAAAAGATACTGGGTAAACAACACACAAACTAGTTAAACTAGGATAATGAACATTAGAATACCTAGGTATAATTTACAATATGATTTATAGTATAGACATTGGAAAGTCACATGCACATTTTAGGAAGAAAGAGATATGCAACCACTACAGACCGGACATGATAACAAAACATGAACCACAACTTACTTGATATCGTTTATCAGTGGTCAACTAAATATTAAGCAACATATTATAATAGATGATACATTTTTAAATAAGAATAATCCCTAAGAGAAAAAATGAGCTACAATCTAATGAACATGAGTAAGAAATAGGTTGAAAGCGTGAATCTATTGAAGCTAGACCACCATTGAAAACCTGGAAGCACTGGACGACCGTTTCGTCCTATTGTGGGACTCCTCAGCAGTGCGCATCCACGACCTCGCCTCGCGAGATTCGAAACCAGGACCTACCAGCATCGCGCTGAGGAGTCCCACGATGGGACGAAACGGCCGTCCAGTGCTTCCAGGTTTTCCTTGGTGGTCTGGCTTCAATTGACTCCTGCTTTCAACTATGAAAATACTAAGTTTCCACAGAACCCCTTCTGATGATGATAATAATAATAAGAAGAAGAAATTAGTGTTTGGGGATGTAAAATCATCGAATACAACTTATACACAGAAATCAATTATTATGTTCACATATTAGTTTGAACTGAATTCCTTTTATTGACTTTCAGTACATTCCCATTTGTATCGATTCATTCGGTAAGAACTAAGTTTATTAAGTTTCAACATTTCATTGTATTGATCAATTTAATCTTATTTTGCATAACAGTGATGAATACTTAATTGATTAACGCCGAAATACATCGATATATTAGTGAATTAAAGTGGAAGCAAATTTAATCAGCTTTCTTCACTCACAATACATCTTTCTTAAAAAGATTTGTCTTCTGAAGGAGCTGGGACTAGAACAGAACATAGGTGTTGTATATAGTATTGAAATTGTCGACAGAGTTATCACCATATATCCCGCTCCTTTAATAATTCAAGAGAAAAAATTTGGAAATTTCCACAAAAACCACCTTACATATTACTTATTATGCGCTCACTAACGACTAGTTTTGAGGACGGTTTTAAAAGATTCAAATAGGAAACCTTGACTAATGAAGTCAACTACATGGGAAGTTAGATAGGAATTAGCTGTTGATATTGGGTGACAAACGAATTATATAACAAATTCGCTTATGTTGGAAAACTCGGCGAGTAAGTTCCAAATCAGTGACTTATTTTGTTATTTATTTATTTAAACACATAAACATTGGTACAAACGAGCACCAGATATATATGCACCGCACAAATATCATTCGATTTGTGTGAGGGCTGTGATAATACCCAGGTGCCCAAACTGAAGCAGGTGGTTTTCTTAGGGGACCACACCCGGAGCCTTTCACCGAAAGATCTGATCCACAAGATAGTGGAGCATCGTGAGGAGATGCAGTTCCATGGTAGCCGGTGACCAACGATTGATTCATACGCCATTTGTTTCCTCGGGATATTGGAGCCCATGTGCACCATTGATTTGGAATGAGGGTTTTCCAACTCCCCTAGGTGGATCCTCCACATCCAACAACCCGGTTAAAGCTCCTGCCGGACATTCGCTTTTCGTCCTCTCAATTTCGTAAACAACACCCTCGCCACGAGAAGGACTTCCCTGGCAATGGCTATATATACGCGTGTCCATGTGAGAGAGTTTCGAGAGGGAGAGCGGACTCTCCCCACTCTCGGCCGTACTAGGGCATTTGGGGGCAATCAGTGACTTAAGAGTCACTAGTCTAATAGATACATCTCCTACGGAAGATTTATTGATAGAGAGCAATTAAGGCTATAAATTAAGCAAAAATTATTTAAATACAAATATATTTATAAAGACTGAAAATAAGTTAATTTAGTATACTAAAAAGGTAACAGCCTGTAAAAGAAATAATCACTTTAACCGTGGTGGAAACAACAAATGGGGTCCAATGAGGACTATGGCATGAAAAGAAGAAAGAAATTTCAATTTACAAAATAACAAGTAACCAATAATTCAGCGGTATTCTGGGGGGGGTTAACATTCACAAGAAAAGCATTGTTGTCAACAGTGGAATTTTATCTTCGTTAAACTGCCTCTAAATATAGTATGTAGTAAATGATTTTGAGGAATTTTCAAAACTTTATGATCAACTGATTATATTAACAGAATACAGTATGTGGGAAAGAGAAGCAATGTTTTGTATAATTCAAATGAGGTATGGAAATACTTTTGCGTAAGTTGTTTCACCACTTAAAACTCCTTTACTGAAAGATATTTTTCTAGATAAAGTGTTATTTACACTGTTTCTACACCTGAAACTCTCTATTCACACTTTAATCCAGAGAAGATAATCGAGTCATTAGATACTGAAGTAGTGGACGCTACTTACAGGTTTGTTTGTAAGTAGCATATGGAAGAACGTGGAGTCGAAGTTGCAACAGTTGTCAGACGGAGTCAAGAGTTTAAGTACAACGAAAGTACAGGGTTGACAGAACACTTAAAGATCAGACGAGAAGACGATTCAGATGGCAGAACACAATGAAAGATGCAAATGGACGATTTAAGGCTATGCATATGTATTATGTAAATACTTTGTCACTTGAGTACAATATTCCGTAAAGTAACTGGTGAAAACATGATAGAAAGAATTTTCGTGATTGTTACCTAAGAATATACATCTTGCTTTTTTCCTTCACATCAATCACTAATCACGTATCTACTTCACATTCAATACTTTAATTTTTATGGAATTATTACGTGGACGACACAGTCCTTACGAACAGACATCGTTTTGGATAAAGAAATGAATCATTAATGGATTTTGTTAAAAAGTTGGTGTTGACTAAATACGTGTTATAATCTCACTCAATAATCTGAGCATTCAGTAGTGAAACACTGGATATAGACGAGAGCATGAGTTTATTGACATAAAAGTACAAACGGTAGAGGCATTATATACGATATAAATAGATACATACTTCTTGATCAATCACAAGTCATATTTTGTTTGAACATACCGGATTGGTTTAAAGTAAGTTGTTATTAGAATGGGACTTTGTGGAGATTTTAGTGATTTTAATAGTTGAATTCATGATAATCATCATGTGCTCATTAGTGACTGGCATCAAGATGGATTTCTTGGAGTTCTAGTGAGAAGTCATGACCAGTGAAGTTCGATATGTGTCAAGTAAAGACAGGTATCTATCTCGAACAATCGATCAATGGTTGCGTAAGATCATGGATCGATTGAAGCTAGACATTAACACCGTTGGATGCCGGCTTAGTGGTCTACAGGTTAGGTGTTCGCGCGCAAGGCGGAAGGTCTCGGGTTTAAGTCCTGCGTGTGGAGTTGTGGACACGCACTGTCGGGGAATCTCATACTAAGACGAAACGGCCGTCCAGTGTTTCCAGGTTTTCAATGGTGGTCTAACTTACATAGATCCATGAATCCAACTATTAAATTAAGCTGGTAATTGTTGTAGAATCGTGAACTACATGTCCTAGATTTATAACATATATGTAATGTTACTAAAAAAAGTGATGAACAACACTTTGGTACATTTATTAATGAGTAATAATACTGATTAGTAAATTATGAGCAACATTGTGGTATAAGCTGCTTATGTTCACAGATATAAGTAGTATGCAACAGCAATCGGAAGTGGAATGCCTGACAGCAAAGGACTGAATTGAAGAGAACACGAAGAGAAGTAGAGATTAAATGGAATAACAACAGAATTGGAATAATCATGAAATATGTAAAGGACAACTGATAGAAGATATGCAAATAATGTATTTGATGTATGATTTTCATATTTTACGAAAGCGTCGTGTAATTTTGCATTCAGTCAGTCAGTCACAACGTAGAACTTTGTACGTATGTACATCAGTTCCAGACGCCATACCAAATTAACACAGAGATGCAGTTGTCGATTCAAATCCCATAGTGGTAGAGGTAGTAAGAGTATACGCAGTAATCGGAAAGATTAGGGTTTGAAGATGTTATTCAAGAAGTATAATCCAGTGAAATCAATTTGAAAAAAGAAAAAAAAGATGAAGACATGAAGAATTCAGATTAGAATTTGGGAGAACACAAAGAGTGGATGCACCTTCGCCATTACAAACAATTTTGAGCTATGTCATTCAAGGTCTCTAACCACCGATTGCTATCATCTCGTGAATCTCAATCAGGTAGTCTACACCTACCAACATGACTCAGTCCAATTGTCAGTGACTTGAAGGATTTGTGTCACGTTTTAGTCTGACCACCCCTAGCTTTCTTCCAACCTACTCTTACACCATAAAAAATTGCACGTCGGGGTAGTCGGTGGTTGGGCATATGTAACACGTGTCCCAGACATCTCATTAAACAATAAATTAGTTTTCCTTCACTTGTGCTGATGTTCACAACAATATATCATACAAAACTGTCATCAATACTGATGTTTGATCATTTGTATTCTGAGAATATTTTTCACACAGGGTTTTGAAATTGACACCAAACACAATTTCGTCTTCAGTTAAACAATCAATACGTATTATGAGGAAAAATATTGTATTATTTTCTTAAAACTTCACATTAATCATATAATAAATAGAATGAACGAATGAACACATACACTTGAGATAGTGCAATACATGTATGATACGTACGTCACACCTTTTCTTACATCATAAATAATCACATGATCAATTGAAAAAGATCATAAGAAAAGGAAAGATTCTTGAAAAGATATAAACGATTGATGAGTTAAATATTATTATCATTATTACGTTGCACTTTAATTACTAACTAAGCAATATAGATTCTATGGATTTCTACCTTCATAATTTATTTAGTATGGATAAAAAGAATGATTGCTGACAATAGACAGAGAAAATAATGTACATTATTCAGATGTCGATTGACTGAACTGTTAACTTCTAATTGGTGATCACTCAATATTTATCGTCACGATCAACCAAGAAGTAAGAAACGGAAACGTTGGAATACTTTGTCAGAGGGGGTTTTGTGGAGATTTCAATATTTTCATAGTTGAAATCATGAGTCAATTGAAGCTAAACCACCAAAGAAAACCTGGAAGCACTGGCCGGTCGTTTCGTCATATTATGAGACTCCTCAGCAGTGTGCATCCATGATCCCGCTTCGCGAGACTCGAACCCAGGACCTACTAGTCTCGCGCCAAAGCACGTAATTGATAGACCTAGATCTATAATCATATGCTTACTAGTGACTGACTTCAAGGGATGTTTCCTTGAGTTCTAGTGGGAAGCAGTGACCAGTGGAGTTCAACCAAGTCTATTGTAGAGATATCAACTAGCTGAAGACAATTGGTGAATGGTTGCTCAAATTTCGTGCATTGGTTAAAGTTACACATTAACACTGTTGGATGCCGGATCAGTGGTCTATCAATTAAGTGCTCTGGCGTGAGACTGGTAGGTCATAGGTTCGAATCTCGCGAGTGCGGGATCGTGGATGCGCACTGTTGAGGAGTCCATAATAAGACGAAACGGCAGTTCAGTGCTTCCAGGTTTTCCATGGTGGTCTAGCTTCAATGCACCCATGATATCAACTATGGAAATACTTTGTGTTGAGAACTTTATATTGTGCCCAAAATATAATATTAAATAAAGCTAATCATAATCATAACAGTTAAATTGGTTAGTTAACGTATAGGCCTTAATCAGACTGTCCTGTTGCAATGATTTGGAGTATTTGAATTATAGTATAAACTAGTAGTCCCAGAAACAACGCAATTTAGTCAAGAAGTATTAGATGAAAACACAAACGAATGTACTGTAAATAGGTAGAAATAAATGATGAAACTATATTGAACTGTTCTATATTTGTAAATAAAACTTTTCATTACATTCCCCCTCATGATGCATAATGACAAAAAAAGACTGTTTTTCGATCAAAAAAAGTAACAAATAACAACCCCCTTTTTAAATAAAAAAAGTCATTACACTTAGAAACAAATACAACATATCTGTGTATTTACATAATAGGAACCAAAAAGAGAACTTACCATAGCGTTTGCATTCAAACGATTCATAATCGATGTGAGTATATGATAAGAATCATGTGATTCAGTGATAATGAATTTCAAAAATAATTTGATCATTGAAGGTTCAGTTAAACGACGTAAAAACAATTCCAGGTAAGCTGTGGCAGCAATTACTTCATCCATAGCACTCTTTAAATAAAAACGATAGTAACTATTACATGGATATATAGATATAATTTTAATCACAAACTTATTAATTACATGTGAATAAGTGTAAGAGATAGTACATTGAGAACTATTCTAAGGGTGGATGGATTACAATAAACATTTCTATGATGCATGTAGTGAATATTTGGTTTAAGGTACTTTTATATCACTCTAATTGCAAGTTTTCAATTAGATAGTTAATCATAAGTCATAGTTAATTATGCCCTTGTTAATCAATTTTATAAAGTCCTACTCACACATACTCGAAGTCCCCCGAGAAGAAAGTGAAACTTTATTTCATGAATTAACGTAAGTGGTTAAGTGCAGATCAGACTAGTCCCTCACTCTGTTGTAAATATGGACTACATGAAGGGCTTGTGATAAGGACTTATATGATATGCAGAACTTGAAAATAAGTTTCTTGTTTTTTCATCTGACCGGATTATCTATACGAAGCCTCATTAGATTTGGTGAAAACCAGCGCGATGACCATAAACTGTGCCGTAACCAGTGCACAGGAGTCAAAACTAAACTTATTTGTGGTATAAGCGTAGAGTTGATCATAAACAAACTAATTAAATCAAGTGACTTGAAAGCAAGTATTTCATTCATTTCTCACTATAACTGGGCTCTAGCTTGGGGGCAACAAAAGAAAATTAGATCCATACCTATGTTCATACTATGGAGTGTATAGGCCCTGGTCTATGTATCTTAAATATGCATGTAACGCATACTTGTGATTTTATCCACATTTCATACTGATGTACATATTATCGCTCACAGAGCTTATGGTTTATTACAAAGTTTCCCGACAAGGGTGCCCCTAGTACAGCTATACAGAAGCAGACAAGTAACGTGTCCGTCTACTTAATAAAGCATAGTTGAATCAAAATCCTTAATCTACATGAACTGGACCAAAGTAAGCTACTAACGTGCCAGTTTCCTTTGCTCTCTCCAGTGTTCCAGTCTTGCACATCTCTACTAAAGATATTCTTTTTTTCGAGTAGCCGATTGGCGTTCGTACTTAATCGGACGGGATTAAATTACTAATCAGCTGTTACTCAATTTGGTACCATAAATGACTAAGTTATATGAAGAGAGTGAACTAGTTGGCGTATTGTGTTTTTGTAATTTATGCACATGATTAAGATCTTTTGGACCACATAATAGAAGGTAAATCAGATGGCTTTTATTATGTTTCGATTGGGCTTGCTAGGGGTAAGAAGTCATGTACATAAATCTGAGTTAACATGCTTAGTGGGTACAACAAGTGAAGCTAAAGTCATTAATTTTACTTGACGTGAGTGGTCTCATCACTAAGGGGTTAAACAAACTAGATGAGAATATAGAGGTTGAATTCATAACAAGATCAACTTCAGATAGGGAATAGTCGGAATATAAAAAGCATCGGACTGTTGTTTCATCCTAATTTAAGGCTCAGCAGCAGCACAAACGTAAGTTTGTTCAATTACGATTTTCTGAGAAAGTACATACTATAATCTGAAACAGCCGAAAACAGAAAAACCTAGCGAATCAACAAATAGCAATCACGTGCACTGAAAATAGTAGTAATGGTAATATGCGAGCTAAACCACAATCGCAGTACGTTGTACAATGAATAAGCCACAATAAACATACTTGGTGTAATGCAGATCCTAAAACAGGAACCAAGAATCCAGAATGAATGAAATACAATAATTGATCACGAACATGAGGATGTGCAATCTAAATATAAAAAGACAGAAAAAGAGTATATAAAAGTAAACTTGACTAGTAAATATAATAACTTTGTAGGTGTATGTACCGAGTAACACAGTTCTACTAACACCACTTTTTACAAAAGATAAAAAGATATTGATTGGAAGTAAGTGTTTGCAATTTCTAGCTAAGATTATCTGACCATTATGACTAAGGTATCGCAATACTATTAAACCCTATAATCTGAGCAAATAGTTGAATAAGGTGCATTACAGTCATAAATACTTCAGATAGGAAACCAACAGTGAAATTTCTAAAAATTTAAATTAGCAAGTTGTAAACATTTATTAGTGCATTCATTTTGTATCGTTTGTCTGGATCTTCCCATTGATGTTTAGGACTGCAACTGGTCAGTCTATTATTGGCATAAGTGCATCCTGTACGGATTGCCTCGATATTGTCTTAAGTCACAAGCATTATAAATAAAGATGGGTGATGGCTAGCAGTGCAATCCAAGACGCGTGTTTCTTCCTACTTGGATGTATCTGCATTGGTATATATCTCCTGTTAATCAAACAAATTACCAAAAAAGAGCCATTTTATTTTACAACATTATGACTAGTAGGAAGACATTAAACATTGTCACACTATCTATTCTAGAAAATAACAAAACTTTAAACTTATCCTGCCTTCTCTGGGTATAATTTTCACTTTTATACTTTATCTCAATCTAAAGAACATACTTCCAAAAGAACACGTATACCAAAAGATGACAGAGATCAATTTGTAAAAATATACATGAGTTATGACATTTCACAGAGACTGAAGTCAATAGTGACCATGGCATGGGTGAATATTTAGAAAAAATAAGTAGTCAACAAAATATCTACACTTAAGGCCATCACTTTAGTTGAAAGGTCCCTTTTATAGAACAGTATTACAAGACAAAGAATTCCCGCGCAAACGATCGCTCCTAATAACTTTATCATCAGACTTTACGGTAATAAATCCATGATTACTGTAATACAAAGGTCAAAAATAAGATATATATAAATAAGTTGTAAGTGAACTATGCAATATGTGAACTTTATCATAGACTACATCTCATTTCATTTGTAAATTTTAAGTCATTTATGAAAAGGAGTAGGTAAGTTTGTTGTATGCCGTCAAGCTACAATTAATATAAATCATGTGGAGAAAATGAACAGTAAGAGAAATGTCTGGTTTATTGAGGTAATAATAATAATACAGTCATGTGAATAAAACATGTAATAAGAGCCCCCAAATGCCCTGGTACGGCCAAAAGTGGGGAGAGTCCACTCTCCCTCTCCAAATGCTCTCATATGGCCACGCGAATATATAGCCTCTGTCAGGGAAATCATACTCACTGCCTTCTCGTGGCGGGGGTGTTGTTCACAAAATTGAGAGGACGAAAAACGAATGTCCGGAGCTTTAATCGGGTTGGTGGACACAGAAAGTCCACATAGGGAAGTTGGAAAACTGTTATACCAAACCAATGATGCACATGGGCTCCAGTATCCTGAGGGAACAAATGGCGTATGAATCAATCGTTGGTCACCGGCTAACATGGGACTGCATCTCCTTACGATGCTCCACTGCCTTGTGGATCAGACCTTTAGGTTAAAGGCTCCGGCTGTGACCCCCTAAGAAAATCACCTGCTTCAGTCTGGGCACCTGGGCAGTATCACAGCCCTCACACAAATCGAATGACATTCGTGGGGTGCATATGTATCTGGTTCCCCTTTGTACCAATATTTATGTGTTTAAATGAAATAAAATAATTAGTAAACTTGAAATGTCTCTTTTTGCCGATTGTTTTCAACTAAGTGATAATAATAACAGCACTAAAACAGTTAATCCAAGTTTAAACATTTGTACTGTGGTATATGTGTTTAATTTATACGGGTCTCTGGGACATTCTCAATGAAATTAAAAAAACGACTACCAGTTACTAACATTGATGACAGTATAATAGTATCAATGAGATAGTTAATTTTTCTCTATAAAATTATTCTATCACGATTATGTCTAGCATGGAAGCAAAACGCTTGCGTAATGTAACTAAGTCATCAATGCATTAAGCATAAAGATTGCTAAAGGTTTTAAAAATGTTAATAAAAAATACACTACAAAACACACATATTTTTTCTTACTTTAATAGTCAGATTACAAAAATGCAATGTATGTAGAAATCGGCGTAGGTCTATTGAATTCGAACATTCACTCTCGGTTAACTGATGCCATTCAGCTCCACCAACTTGCAATTCTAACAGACATGGATTGAGTAAATCTGACTGAATATAAACTGGTGTAGTTACAGAAACTGGACCTCCGGGAGAATTTAATGAAACATTACCGTTATGATTATGGTATAATCCATAACGTGGAACTAACTTTTTTGGGAGACTAGAATATAGACCACTTAAACCAGTGGCTAAAATCTGAAGTACAAAACAAAAAACAGCCAATACATAATTTCGATCCAGTTAATTGTGCTATAACAAGATTTAGAGAAGACACACCCAAATACTGGCTGAACAATACATGGAGAAAAATAGGATCGATATTATAACAAACCAACTACGATAAGACAGGTGAAATTGTATGCACGATTTTATTGGAAAACTAACATGGCTCATGAAAAAACAACCTTATTTGTAAATACATACATTCATGAATTAGTTATTCCTACATAACAAGGCAAAACGATAGCTTAATGGTTAAAGAGCTTGATTTTTTAACTACCGGGTTGCCGAGTCAAACACAGTGCACTCATTTAGGTTCTAACAGCTAAGTAGTTTCATTTGAAGTTCGCGCATAAAATAAATGACGTAACGACTAATACATAAACTTATACTTGACAAATGATTTGCAGTAACCCTGGTGCTAGGTCACAAAGGTGTGCCTACAGTCTTCAGGGAAATGGTGTTCCATGTGGGACTTGAACTAGCTCCACCCAGTTCCCCAGACTAAGACTTACCACTGGGTTATTCAGGACAGGACTTACCTAATTTAGAACTGAGGTGTTTAAAATTGAATGATTACTAAGTAGTGGCCAATGTCATGTTCGGTTAGTCCTTTGGCACAAATCGAATACTAGAGATCAAGTCACAACTGCCTGATGTGGGTCCGAAACCCACAGAAAGTATTAGGTCCCCTAAGACTATACGCACACCTTGCTGACGATTACAAATTGGTACGAAATCCATATCAATACAAGGCCTCCTATCGAATACCTCCAACCATCTAACATCTTAACAAAGTACAAGCGATGTCAAGTCACTTAGACTAGTGGAAATGTTGTAACTTGTTGACCGATAGAATTCGATCAGTATTAAAGGACTAGACAAACATGATATATGTTAATCACTTGTTAAGTTAAAACTACACAAGGTTACAACATTATATTTAGCTTCCATCATAACTGCAGGATATTAGTCATGAAAATAGCCAGTAGTAGGCACACATTCATTACTTAGCACATTGATATGTATTGATGATAAGGAAAGAATTCTGTGCTTAGATGTTACACTTTCACTAACAGAATGAAATTTTAAAAAATGACTTAATGTAGGTTCTTCAGGGTAAGAATAAATAACTTTAACACAGAGTTTGAATTTATGTATGCCAAAAGCTTTGTCAAAACTTTATATATAGTGCTGAAGTCTTCTCTATATAGAAATTTGTGTTTTGAATGAAATTGCACGATCCATTTTTATTATGTAACTGGTTATAAAAGGATGATTGTCTGTCACCCGACTTCATTGAATTTCCATAACCCAAGTGAATTTGAAGTGGTAAATGCCTATGTTTCTTCAGTCACTATTGCATACTTTGAGCGATCACTCACTAACTTTAATGTGTTCGAACATTAATGAACTAGTAAATATGATATAATGTAACGTAACCGTTTGTGTGATGTGCTGAAATATATTTTTTAAACTCCACCCCATGTAATTTGACTTGAGGATTTGAGAAGTACCATTACACCTCACCCAGCGTAGCTCAAAGATACATACACAAATCTGGAGTTAATAAATCGTATGTATAGGAAAGAATTACGGGCATAACGTCAAGTTCCTAGGAAACACCACACCATAGATCATTCTAAAAACAAAAATGCAACTCATGAACAAGTAGTACACAGACCTGAGTTTAAAGATGGATGACTTATATAACAACAACCAACGTACCGGACATATATCAGATTCATATGCTAAATATTGACCAAGACTATCATCTTTATTAGAAAGTCCAAATATGATTAAGAGTGAATCTCTGGCCGAATCCCCCAACGGGTCATTTCGATGTACTAATGGAACAAGTAGTGAAAATATCATATACGGTTGATTGAAAATTTCTTTGCATAACTAAAATAAACAATAAAGATATTCAGATTCACGATTATGATCAATAATTTAAAATCACAAATCAGTCAGCCAGAGAGTCGCAACGTACAACCTGGTACGTATGTACATCGTTTCAAGTGTCCATACCTCATTAGAACAGAGGGATTAAATCGCCAGGTCAAATCCCAGAATAGTAAAGGAAGTAAAAGTATGAGTGGTGGTTGAAAAAATTAGGCATCAAAGATGCGATTCTAGGAAATATAAATTACTGGAATAAAAACACAAAGAAAGTAGTCAGGAACTTAGAAACTCAGAATGTGGAAGAAGACAGAGAACGGGTGCATATGGACCATTGCAAACAATTTTAAGTCATATAATTCAAAATCTATAACCATTGGTGATGATAATCACACGGACGCCAGCCAGATAGTCAACAAAAATGGTTTAAGTTTATCCAACTTTGTTAAATTTATGACAATGTACAACAGTCATCAAATATCTCTAGGTTATGTCTATCACTCCTGTCAATTTTACTTACCTCAAAGAGTAAAGTTCCCCAGGAAAACTTCATTCCAAAGTTCATAATCGATTAGTCTTGGATGTCTATTCAATTAACTCGGACCAATAAATTTTCAACTGGTCAGATCTTTTAAAAAATCTACCAGTAGAAGTGCACTCTGGCTAGTAGTTGAATCTAGGACCCGCGTGTCCTCCTATTAGGACTCGTTGGTTGGATCTACCTGAATCCCAGTGTTGATATTTACGCTGAAACTGAAACCAAGTACTTTTCACTTCATACACCGAATGCACTAACCACTAAGCTACTGAGTCTAGATACATCCGGCACACGAGTCATAAACAGGACGAAATAATCGTCCTGTATTTCAATAGTGACCACAATCCGTCTCATCTATAACATATGACGACATAGTTATATCAAAGTAATCAGCATACAGTGCAAGTATGCCAACTAAGACCAATAAAAATTCAGTCAAGAATAACCCAAACCCATACAAATTAACTTGTCTTCTGTAACGTTATTTTAACTCCATAACTTTAAAACAACTGTCAGTAATGGAAATCTCTGAAGTAAGATACAGTGGCATACTTTTACAGTCAATTATTTCTGGCCCTCACCTTTCATTTGTGAAAGAGCAGCATTACTGGAAGTGTTAGTCGCTTGTAAGAAACACAAAATACTTGCGCCATGCGTCTCCTCAGTCAGTAATACAATTTACCCTTCCAACCTGAAGATTGAATTTCAGCAACATCCCTCAAACATTACATGATCTACATAAAATGTAGGAAGCAGTCCTGTATACTCTTTTATAATGGATCACTGGGCTCAGTTGTTATTTTCCCTAATCACAGAAAGAGGTATATTTGTTCTAAAATTTCTACAAAATATATTGAGTTCATCATTAGTTATGTTCATTACAATTGTTTTATGTATATCAGTCATACACAAAGTAGAACCTAACACATGTGTACGTCTCAAAATGAAATTACTAAGACAAATGGAAGAGTAATAAAACTGGTGAAATCACAAGTAGCAATAGGAAAAATTAGACATAGTATGATTCAAGAAGAATGAATTCATAGCATAAAAAACTATACAATAATTCTGAGATTCAATGCCTAAGAGAAGACAAAAATTGAATGTATCTGCGCCATTGAAAATGATTCCGAGCCATGTTGCCCACGTTTCTGACCATTTTATACGATAACCATGAGGAACACAACAACACGGCTCAGTTTAACAGTCAATAAATTCATGAACTGACATCACATCTTGGTTCAACCGCCTTTAGTTTTCTTTCAACCAACTCTTGTGCCAGCCAATATTACGCATAGAGGTAGGTAGTTGTTGAGCATACTAATATTAATACCCAACCACTTCAGTAGATAAAGATTAACTACCTCGTTAACCCATTTTCCATTTTAACCGAGTATCTTGTCTGTGTATAGAAAATTGAAATGCCACATGTCATTGTACAATTATTTATATGATGAGATCACTACTGTAGATTTCTTGTAGAAGCCAAACGTATTAAAATAATGCCTGGTGAAGGATTAGGCTAGGAAAATTATACAAACTGGTAGGATGGGAAATAAAAACAATTTATTAAGTTTCTAATTACTGATGAGGTTTTGACTATCAAAAATAATTCGATGGTGTTCCTAAGACATATCTAGATAAAAACAGAATTATGCGGGACTACGTAGCTCTAGTTCCTTGTTTCAACACCAAGACCTTAGTATTCTCATTTATTGATTCCTCAATACATAAAAGTAGATAATTAGTAAAACGTAAAATTATTGTCACGCTTATCATCTACAGATTGGTGTCAATCGAAACTTTGAAAGTCGACAACAGGTTATTGAACATTTTCAGAAGGGGAGAATTACATCATTGGTCAAGCGTTGAAATTAAACATAAACAGAATTACTAAATGACCTTTCGACCCAAATCGATTACACGTAATTGTTAGGCAATCGACATGGTTATGTTTTAAAGTTTACATATACTGAAATTAAGATCAACCTATAACTATTGTCATCCATAACATTTACACCGAACATTTGCAATGTAAACGAACGAGATAAGTGATCACTTGCTTACTTCTCATGAACCATGGGCCGCAAGTCCGGATTATCCAAACAATTCTGTCCTAGGCTCTCATTCCCAGTTGTTTTCGAGTGTTATTCATTCATCCCATGTCTGCCTCCGATTCTCGGTGCAATGTGTTCTCTGGTCTGTTCATTTCCCCTTTTCCTTTGAAGATTCGAAGTTCACTGTATTCCGTGCTTTCCCTCGGATGTTGTGGTCTTCATAATCCAGTAAACCACCAGAAGAAAGAGAAAGGGGAAAAGTAAGCAGCCTTGTCAGACTCCAGTTCTCATTTTGAATGCATCTGACAGCTGTTATCCATGCACTACTTTGCAGTGTAGTCTGTCGCATGAATTTCGTATGATGTTGGCCATTTTCTCAGGTACAACATAGTTTCGAAGAAGGTTCCATAAGGTCATCCTAGCCACACTATTAAACACTATCTTATAATCGAGGAAGTTGATGTATGGTGACGAATTACATTTAATTGATTCCACAATAATGATCCGTAGTGTCGCGATTTGATCTGTGCACGACTGATCCTTACGGAATCCGGTCTGTTCATCTCGAAGCTGGACGTCGACTGAATCTTCCATCCGGTTCAGCAACAATATGTTGAAAACGTTCCCTGGTACCGATAGAAGTGTGACGCCTCTGTAGTTCCCACACTTGATCAGATCTTCCTTCTTTGGTATCTTGATGAGATATTCTTCTTTCCAGTCTGTCGGCACTTGTTTTCCCTCCAAAATCATCCTGAATAAAATGTGGAGTATCCTAGCATTTGTTTCCATGTCTGACTTCAGTACCTCATATGGTATATTGTCAGGTCCTGCTGCTTTCACACTCCTGATTTATCTGCTGATCATCCTGGTTTCTTCAACCGTTGGTGGAGTGGCATCTAGAGGAAGGTCTGTGTGTGCTGCTCTGAGGTCCTATGGATTCAATGGAGCTGGTCTATTCAAGAGTTCCTCAAAGTGTTCTGCCCATCTGTTCCTCTGTCCTTGAATCTCAGTGATTGGCTTGCCTCCTCTGTCCCTCACTGGTCACTTTGGTTTACCATATTTCCCTTCCAGTTACACTGCTGTATCATATAGTTGTTTCATATTTTCTTCTCTTGCAGCTTTCTCCGCTGTCGCTGCTACGTTTTTCACGTATTTCTGCTTGTCAGCTCTAATGTTCTTCTTCACTTACCTGTTTACTCCAGTGTATTCAGCTTGTGCCTTGACTTTCTCTGTTCTTGTTCGAACGCTGTTAATTGCAGTCTTCTTGTTCTTCCTCTATTGGATCTTGTTCAGGGTTTCGATACAGATCCATTCCTTACGATGGTGCTTTTTGCTGTCCAGAACCTCCTAACACGTCAAAGTTGGTGCTTCTTTGACCCCCTTCTAGTTGTCTTCCATAGTAGTTTCTTCTTCTTTGAGTAGATCCTGTAAGACTTGGGACCTGTTGTTGAGAATTATCTTGAGTCCATTGAGTTTGTCAGTGTCTCGAAGAAGAGCTGTACCAAACATTTGCAACGTTGTCTCTTCAGTTTTCAAATGCCTCTTTAGCTTTAGTTTTATACTGACCGAAATCGGGTGCTGATCTGAAGCTATGTCAGCTCCTCTCTTGATTCTCACGTCTTTCATAGACCTTCTGAATTTTTTAGTGATGCAAATATGATCGATCTGATTCTCTGTAGTGTGATCCGATGACATCCCTGTAGCTTTGTGTAAGCGTTTGTGTGGGAATACAGATACACCTATAACCATTTTGTTGAATGCACATAAGTTTGCGAATCTCTCCACATTATCGTTCTTTTCTCCTAGTTCATGTCGTCCCATGATATCTTCATACCCGGTGTTGTCCATTCTGACTTTGGCGTTTATGTCTTCCATCAGGATGGTCAGTTCCTTTCCTTGTCACTTCTCTACGATCGACTGCAACCCTGCTCATAAAATCGATCCTCACCTTCTTCATTACTATCACTGGTTGGTGCATAACACTGGATAGCATTCATTGTGGTTCCCTCCTTCTTTGTTTAAAGGATGCTTTGATTATCCTGGATCCATGAGATTCCCATCCTATAAGTGTATGTCATGCTTTTTTGAACAGCATCGGAGCATTTCACTCAGTGTGAGAAGTATTTTCATCTTCGTGATCAGAGTACAGCAGCATCTCTCCCGAATTTATCCTTTTCTGTCCAGCTTGGGTCCATTGAGTTTCACTGATTCTGAGAACCTACAAGTTATATCTTCTCGTTTCTATAGTTATTTGATTGGTCCTTCCAGTATCCTACATTGTTTGGACATTCCATGTACCTATACTGAATGCTTTTCTGGTTGTGAGAAGAGGCATCGACTTTTTGATTTCCGAAGAATCTCGGCTTTCCTCATGAGAAGTCATAATTCTTCTGCATGAAGATCCTTCAGCTTCCAGGACATATTTTAAATGGTTTAAATTGTTTATTCTGATTATTGTTTCTCTAGCAGATTTGATTTCTACTTGGTGGGTTTGCTGACCCCATGACCAACCCTCTTTTTTGTCCGGCCTTGAGACCGACAGTAACCGTAAAAGGGTCACAGGCGGAGATAGGTGACAGAAACTAATAATGTGTTTTAAATGTATATTCAGTAAGTTCAGTGTAAACAATCAAATAATTCGCTTGGTTTTATTACTGTCTAATTCAATCCATAAATGATGCTCGTCAGGACACATTAGCACGCTATTTTCATCTTTTAGGAATTTCAAGCTTTGTTAGAGATTTTAATCATTATTAACTCTACAATAACAAACACTAATATCTAGGAATTGTTACCATTGACTTCAATTATGGAGCACAAATATGGAGTCGTTTGAAAAAGACTCCACACATACATTCCACATATCTACTGTGTGAAATGTTGCAGAACTGTTATTGATTGATATAGTATTTTCAACTGACTTATTTTAAAAACACGCCGTATTTGTGTATACTGTAAGAAACACTAGAAGGTTAAATATAAATAATATTGAATATTCATGAAAACGAAGATGAATTCGACTTCATCCAATTTATCCATAGGTCACAATAGTTTGATTTTTTATTCATGCGGAAGTGTATCACGACGGATGGTAGATCGGCCTTTGTTAAAAATTTAGATTTTGTTTAACAATAATCACAGAAATATGAGACCTGAATTTAAACCTATCTCAGAGTTTTAGTTCAAACGCTTAAGTTACTAGTGGCATTTAAGTTTAAGTCTAGAGTTAAATATTTTTGACAATAAATTAGGAAGATCAAATGGTAATAAAGATCAGAAGATGTGGGGAATTCACAACATACACACTGATAGTTCAATCTACTCTAGAACAATCAACAAAACTAGATGAACAGTAATTTTTACCGTAATACAGAATGGAGCTGAAATTCAATTAGAAACCAGGAAATATTAGACAGGTGCTACGTCATACTTCCGAACTCGATTTCATATAAAAGAGTAGATACAACGTGTTGAACAACCAAACACAAAGATGAAATAGTCGTCTAGTTTTTTTGACTTACAGTGGTTCGCTGGCTCATCACAGTCCGTGATTAAAGCTATCTGAAAAATGAATAAGGCTGAATAAACAGCTAAATTCAGTTTTCCGGCACCAGTAAGTTTGCAACTACTACTACAATTATTTTTTCAATAATTATGTGTTAAAGTAAAAAAGTATATTATTGGAAACTCATTAACTACGTACAGATTCGTATACGAGCGTTAGCTATTCCTAATAATGTGAGCATTAAAGATGCTTTCTAGGTTACTTAAAAAGTACAGGACTGACAATACTAGGTAAAATAATTTAGAAGGTTTCCCGCAAGTAACACAGTTCAATTTATTACACTCCAGAATGAAGTACATATATTTAAATACAGAAATAAAAAGATTTCACAACAGGAGGAAGGAGAGAAGGGAAAAATGAATATTAAAATCCTTGAGATTAGAGGAGAATCCGTTCTAAACAATGTCACTCATTGTCTAGTACCACTGACTTGCCATATTGGAAAACTATGACATCTACCTAGAATATTTAAATAGACAGACTATAGTTTTTATGATCTGATTCTGTCTTAATCTGTTCATCTTCAGTGATATGCCAATTTAGTTATACTTCAATCACCATCACATACTCAGTTAGGTGGTGACTTGGCAACTGTAACTAATCTCCCAGCTACCACATGCTCTGTATATACCGGACATCATATTAGACCGAATGAGTTTTAACTGATGAACTTTTACCACATAAAGCTAGTCTCTTTAGAAATTAAGAGTTTGATCTCTTACATATACACATAAGGAAGTAAATATAAAATTATCAAGGACTTACTTCTTTACTAAACTCCAACAACCGAAAGTTTCTACATAACAAAATACAAACTTCATGTAATAAATGCCCATAGATTTGATCATAACTAGGCCGTAACTGTGAGGATAGTTTGAATAAAAATTGGCACAAAGGTTGAAGAATCGGTCTATAAAGTAAAACATTCTGTTTCGATTGTGTTATTAACTGTTCAAAAGTAGTAATTAAATGTCTTCTTAGCACATCACGAGTACAAATTGATTTGTCATCTTTAGGTGTTGGATTTGCTTCGATCCAAATGAGAAGTAATTCAAAAATATTATATTTTATTATTGTTTCAAGATATGAACCTTCTACTAGTTTGTTTCCTTCTAGAGCTTAAAAATATATATAATAAGTTCCAATAATAAGACTCATTAGTAAATTAAAGCTACAAAAGTAAAATGGATTTTAAAAAATTATACATCCTTTGACCTTCGGATTAGTGTTAATGACATCAACCGACTGACCCTAACATGGACCAGAGACCCAGAGCTTTAGGTATGTAGGTCATAGATTACAACCACGCCCAACCCACTTGGGTTTTAATATATGTTTACCAGCCCTCAGGTAACAAAAGTAGTTTATCACCAAATATGAGATCCGAAAGTTGGTTGGATTGTTCTGTTTTACCACTAACTTCAGATACCAAACTATGATATTAAGCTTGAGTAGCTTAAATACCCATGCATCTAGTCAGTAATAAACAGATAACACATTTTATCCTAATTTAATTAAGATTCAGATTATCTTTCTTCCTTCTCAGTATATGTTAGTCCTGAACTTCTAAACTGGATTTACATACCCATCGACTATGATTCGGATGATACAAGCCATACTGGTAAAAAAAGTAAGCAAATTAAGAAGATTGAACAAGTTTTAAAAAGTTTGTTATAGCGGGACGAATATTAGGGAAGCGGAGGTTTTCAGAGCTAAATTTTGGATCATTATTATGTGTTTACTGTATAATTAGAAGACAACCTTACTGTTGTATTTCTAAGTTTCTCTTATTGTAAGCTTTCAGTGAATCTACTGGCTATTGTCGCACGTTTAACTACTCTCTAATTATTGCTAATTAATTATGCACTTTTTCGCCTTCTAATACTCATGATATTATTAAGCTTAAAGTGCGATTTCTTATCTCGTTTACTGTGATCAGGCGTTTCAAGCATATTATTGCATATTTTGAGTAACAATCGGACTGCTTACAATAGAGAATTGGTCTGCTTTTCATCCGCGTCTTCTAACTGGCTACTAGTGTAGAAGAGGCTTGGGGACCCATAAGCGTTAAGGTCTTGATTGTTGTTCATTAGTCAGTATGCAAATTCATGAAATAGGTTACCGGTTCGACTAGTAATATAAAAGATAATGTCGATTAGATATCTAGAGTTATGGAATAAAAGCTTTCCCGAAGCATCAAAATCTATTTTAAATCAAATTAAAATCAAACACACGTTTTTGTGCTATATAATCCAGCTTGATTAGATATGACTCTACTACTAATACCTAGTTATTGAGTTCGAATACCACTCTGAAGACAGAAGTGTGCATACATTAATACTTTTATTAGATTTCCATTTCGCGGTAGGAGTATGAAAGCACCAAGTTCTCAGATTAGGAGCTTACCCGACATTTAAACATAAAGAGAAAATATAGAATCCATAAGAAGTGCAAATTAACAGAATATTAATGGTGAAGTTTGATTTCAAACAGAGCTTACCAGGCCATTCACTGAAACCAACGGATGAAGCAGCTAGACTACATAGTGATTTCAAAATAACCCTTCTAACGTTTGAGGCTTAAACTATTCAGCGAGCAATCAGAAATCTTTATTCAAGTCATGTAGATTAAACCACATTTTAATAAAACTGTCTGCATAAGCTGGATTTAACAGTTAATCAGGAGGCAATGACGTTCCCTTGACCTACTTATCATTCACAGTAACCCAATAAGCCGTTCCATTAAAAATGACAACGAAAACACGAAGAATTCTCTTGAGAACAAGTACTACTTCAATCAACCGCACGATAGAATCAACCTTAAATGCATACACGGATGACTGGTTAGTTAGGATCTCAAGTGAAATAACGGACTATAATTAGTTATAAAAGCTGGAACTTAATTAATTGAAGAATCAGAGATATACAAAATTTACTTTGCCTAATCGTTACTAACATTTATTCATGCTATTCTTCTGTTAATATTTTGTACAAAAATGTTGTTTCATTAGAATAAGGGCTTATTATAGCTAACGATATTGTCCTCAATCTCAAATCATTCGGGTCCATTTAAATAATCTGGTCCCGTAAACAGCTATCACTCGGCTATTTCGTATCATTGTATTTCGTCTGTCAGTTATTCTTTTCTTCCACTTTGACAACCAAAATTTTTATGGTTGAAATCCAGTGCTTCCAGGATTTTCATGGTGGTCTAGCTTCAATTGACTCATGATTTCAACTATGAAAATACTGAAATCTCCACAAAACCCCTTCTAATCGAAAATTTATTACATCAAACTATAAAATCAAACTACATGACATCAAGGGAGTAGTGTATACATTGTAAACCGTCATTTATCTTGACGGTTGGCAGGTCTCTAAGGATTCTGAACTTTAACAGCTTATGCTTGATCATATAAAGAAAACAAGAATATCACTTAGCACTCATTAACTACGTAGTGTAGTTAAGTGAATCTTGAGTCAGCGAACAAGATAGAACATTTTTTAAACTTCTCTAAGAGTGTAATATCACGGTTGACTGATATCACTATTCTATTAAGTAAACAGAAAATGGTTTATAAACAATACAAATAACGACCTATTTGTTAAATCTTGGAAAGTATTAGTACGATTTATTTTCAGTCTTGGAGCGATCAAACCTCAAAACATTAACAATACTAGACAAGTATCATAATAAAAACTGGAGTATACTAATGATTATTGAAAGTTATGTATCAGGAATGCAAATTATCTGCGTGAAATCACTTTGGACTTCTTCATAAAAACATCCAACAACGTTAGATTACAAGCTGATATTTTATTCAAAAAAGTATTAAATGTATGGGTCTAATTTGATGGCTTTTTGTGCAGTACTTTGGATACAAACCCTTAATATGGTTAACGATCAAATTAGAGTAGAAAAGACTTACCGTCAGAAGAATGCTCATCAACAACTAGCAGTATAATTTTACTGACATGGTAAAAAACGGTGTCAATTTTGGAAATGGATTGAACACCATCATCCTTTACATCAATTAATGACTTGCAATTAGCCCAATGGTCGTGGAGCTCTTGAATATGATCAATTTTCAGCACCTGATTAGACTTGGACTTATGCATCATTTCATTGGTTGGCGCAAGACACTCATTTCTAAAATGTATCGGTTATTGATCTAAAGGCTTAATAAAACCATTAAAAAATATACACAATTACATTCATATTGATACATGTTTGGTAATCAACGGAAACAAAACAGGGAATTTTTTAAAAACTTTGACACTAAAAACCTTGGAAAACAATATGAGTTAAAATCCAAGATTTTTCATGACTATACTTTTAATCACGTAAAATTATTTATTAATTTGAATACACGAATATTGGTACAAGGGGCACCAAATACATATGCACCACACAATAACGATGGGGCCAGTAGCAGTTATCATTGATAAGTGTGAGGGCTGTGATACTGTTCGGGTGCCCAGATCAAAGAGGGTGGTTTTCTTAGGCGGCAACATCCAGAGCCTTCAACCTAAAGGTTTGATCAACAAGGCAGTAGAGCATCGTGAGGAGATGCAGTCCTATGGTAGCCGATGACCAACAATTGGTTCATATGTCTTTCGCTCCTTTAGGATACTGAAGTTCATGTGCACCATTGGTTTGGAATGGGAGTTTTCCAACTCCCCTAGGCGGATCCTACATATCCACTAACCTGGTTAAAGCGCCAGACATTCGCTTTTTGTCCCCTCGATTACATAAACAATGCCCCCGCCGCGGGAAGACGGTGAGAAGGACTTCCCTGGCAGTGACTGTATACGAATGGCCAAGTGCGAGGATTTCGAGAGAGAGAGAGAGAGAGAGCGGACTCTCCCCACCCTTGGCCGTAACAGGGCATTTGAGGGCCATGTAAGACGACTGGGAAACTATGATGTGTTAGCACTAACTGATGGAACAAATTAGTTTACAATGCTAAAATGATATTCAAGCATTCTAAACATTTACTTAAATAAATTTAAATTGTCTAAGGCATTTTATCTTTCAGTAGTTCAGACGTTAATATCTGACAATCGTATTAATAATACCAGGCTATAGAAAAGTTATATCTAATCAACTTGCTTCTCCTTAAAAATTATCCAATGAGCAGCTATCAACAGATAGTCTATGAATCAAAATTAAGTCACCGTTTGGTAGCTTATATATCTGTTGGAAGAGCTCAAGTAAAGTGAATCTCTCCTCTACGTTAACCAAGTTCTGTGTGGCTGTTTCAAATGCTTGGAAGAACGAAACTGATAAAGTACAATTGCTCTGCCGAAATTATGTCAGCGGACTTAACAGCTAGACAAAAGTCAACATGCTGCAGCACTGAGTTACAATCTCTCATTACGGCAATAAGGCTATCTGGTGTTTATATGAACTAATGATTACTTTGTACTTGATGACTGTTTGATTTCGAATTCCAAATACAATACGTTCGTTCATGCTCATCTGGTACTTCTCGGTTAAATTGCGTTATTTCCGGGATTCCTGGTTTGTATTATACTTCAAATACTCTTAATTCTCACAGGCTACTAAGACCACCGAGTTTCACGAAACCGGATAAACCTTTTCCTGGTCAAAACCGAGGAAAAAGAGGTAGTTTATAAAGTACTTATATTTTCTAGAAGTGAAGGAAATATACTTAGGTTGGTAAATAAAAGGCGACTAATTATAAGGAAAAAGAAATACTACACGGAAAGTGAATTTGGTGAGTGCAACAGCCATGTCACATTTGTTTAGCACCTCAGATGAAGCAAGGCAGCATACGGTAATGTGAATAACCGTTAGTAATTTCTTGAAGCTGTCTACTAAAGGAGCTGTCCAAACATCACGAGTCCAACTACTCCAGACCACATTAGTACAAGTTCTAAAATATATCCTCGGCATTCTTTGATAAGCTAAGCATTACCGTTTACGCCCAATAAGACTGAGGTGGGAGCTTTGGGAAAAACTACTCGGTGAGAACATAAGAAACGCGAACAATATAAGTTAAGAAAAACTGCTTATTCCTGAATAAAAACGACTTAAAATACTGAAGTCAGTGAAATTAAAAATATGGACGATTTCGAACTAATTTTAAGCCAATGAATGGACAATGTTTATTTATGAAACGGTTTATACTTCCTATAAGTACTACAATATCTGATAAGCAGATTAAACATAAATATCGAGTATTTGGAAATGACCTCCTTTATTTTTCATCAAAACTGAAATCGAATATGAGGCGAGAAAGGATTTGTGGGAATTGGATAAATTCACCCAAAATACTTCGCTACTTTCAACCTCAACACTTGTCCACAGACTTGTCTTAGATACGAATCGGATAATTGACACCAACCAAAGCAAATAAAATGGTTGAATTAGCTTTACAGAATCAGAGGTCCCGAGTTTCTAAGATACTACTATCCATCCAAAATTGAAACAAACTAACTTTGAACTCGTGTTACGTATCACTCGAACAGAGCGCTGACAGATGGTCAAGGTCAATCGACAGTTCATAATGTTCGGATGGTTTTGGGCGGAGTAGAAGAAGATATCGCTTAACGGGCTCCCGTATCTAGTAGCAGTGTATCACCAATACCTTTAGGTAGGTACCTAGGTATATTATTGACAAAAGATGAGGGGAAAAGATAAGCTGGTAAGTCATGGTAATATACTATCTTTAGTCCTTCAGAATATTTCATGTTTTCTCTTGAAGGACTCCTAGAAAGTCACTTGGACTAGCTCAGTCGGCAGCGAATTTCAGCACTTGACTACTATTATGGAGTAGAAGTTGTGTCTACAGTCCGTTCTGCTATGCTGTGTCTCCAGTTTCTGGGTGTTACCCCTAAGGATTGCGTTGTGACTGAGCTTAAGTGGATGTTTAAGGAGATGTCCAGAAAACGTAAGGACATTGTAAGCCATATGAAGGTCACCACTTAGACTCTTATACTCTGGTGAGTAAAATTTAAGTGATTGGGGTCGCCTATAGCAGTAAATAAACCCCCCAAATCAATAACTCAATAAGTATTCGACAGTGAGTGCTGGCCATATTAGTTTTTATGGACTCACTTAGCTGAAGGCACTCGGTCATGCATCCGCACCAGATCACGAGTGGGAACGGCGTGCTCAACGTCTCCTGCAATTAGTAGCCAGTTTAGATCAGTAACCTCTGGACGTATTGGTAGTCTATAAAATTTATATATATATATATATAAAACTGTTGGAGAATATGTGAAGAGTTCTTTCGTCAAACTGGCCGAAAATACGCCTCAATGTTACCAGTTCAAGGTTTGCTTGGCAAGCATTTTTGTCACAGGGGACAAACACTCCTAAATCTTTTCACCTTAAGATACTTCTAGAATGGAGTCGCCTAAGTTGTATTTGTAGTCTGTAACATGTCTCAGATGGACTGCTTTACAATTCAAAGTATTCGAAGTAAGCCCGTTATCATCTGCCTAACTTTGAAGCCAAGTCAGATCTTCCTAAAGTGCCAGTTTATCCTCTTGGTTACATATCTCTCGTCAAAGTTTCACACCACCAGCAAAAATTAATAAATCTGACGATACCTGATGTGAAAGATAGTTCAGCAAGTATGAGAACATCACGCTAAGCGGTGTTGCCAAGATTGAAGCTGATTCCTTCAGTATAGCAGAATGAACCATATCCGGATCAGAAGTGTAGTTTTTTTAATGCTGCAGTCCCCGGTACACTAAGTCGGCGCTCAAATTCACTTCTGTAAGACCTGTGGAGTTGTGGTTGAAGCTTAAGTCAATAAAGTCAGTGCAGGTCGGTTCAAATTTCCCAGAGTACTGTTCAGCCAAAGCGTTAGCGGCGTCACCGTCGTTGTTGACCTAGTAGTTGGGAAAACCCAGTTTTGGCTTCTCGAAGAGAGAAACCCAATGACGGAACAAGGCTTTCGGATTAGAGACAAATTTATTGACAAACTTCATCTGGTATTGAAGCCTTTCTTTTCTTATGGCCTTTGTGCATTTGTTCCTTATTTGTTCGTATTGCCTGTAAGCACTGCTGTTACCAGTTCGTTTATGTACCCCCAACAGTGCCTATTGCGGCTCGACACATGAAGCGTGTAGTTCTTGATGTCTGTAGGTTCCTTGTAGATTTTGGGGACCATTAAAGGAGCAGACTACCTTGTAGCACATAAGATCGTGTGCAGTGAGAAATCCCACTGTGAATCCACGTGAAGTTGAGAGTGAACTTTCCAATCTACCTACTATGTCTTGTCCTGTAAAGCCTATACATCCAACCGTTTCAAATTCCAGCGCTTGTTGTTGATTGGATGTATTAGCTCAGTTTTGCCGATAAAACCAAAGGCTACGAGGGCGTGATCGCTTTCCCCTAGAGGAGCCAGAATTGAGAGGTTGTCAGTTAGGAATTCGTCGTTTGTAAGTACCCAGTCTGAGTGCGATGGAGTCTGACTGTATCTCCAACGAGTTGCCAACTTCACATTTTCCAATAATCCCAGATCTTCAATGAAGTTGAAAAAACGAGCTTCAGTAGAGTTCTTACCTCTTATGGACGCATGTCTCGTAAAACTGACTTTAGGAAGATTGAAATCCCCTAGAATAAGGATGTGAGTGATCCCGAGACGATTGGAGCGGGATATTCCTTCGAGCATACGATTGTAGTACTCGATGTCAGCGATGGGCTTCTTGTAGATGACTCCAAATAGACACCTTTAGGCGGTAGACAATCTTTTCATACGGATTCATCAAGATTGATAGACCCCTGGCTGTGCACTTGTTGTACCGCCAGGCAAGATCGCAAGCATAAGGCTATTCCAACCCCATTCCTGTTTCTTTGGCATTGCAAAACAAAGACATCTCGGATGTTGCTAGCCCCTGATTTGTGAACTTAAAAGATATCCATGTTTCAGATATTCCCATCAGGTGAGTATCATTAGTATTATTGAGTTCACGCAGCTCACCCAATTTATTATGCAAACTTGCGGCGTCTATACATAGATAGTTTATGTTTTCAATTTGGAACGTGTGAGCTTCCCCGTCCTTGTGTGAGTGGACATGTAACATACCTACACGGTGTTTCCGATTTGGTAGCTCCTGTACTTTCCACGTTTATTTTATGGTGTGGAATTTCACAAGTAGAATAATCAGCCCCTTCTGGCCTTAATGCCTGACCCTGGTATCAATAGACCTAATGGGATTGTGGTGTTTATATGAACCAATGATTCCTTTGTACTTGATGACTGTTATGTGACGTTGCACCACTTCTAGAAGTCTACAAGTGTTCATCAGAAACATCCGACTTTATAGGATCACAATCACAAATTTTAGCATTAGTTTCGGCGAAATAAACGATGGTATTACAAACAGACTTATTGTATCAAGTTTGACCACATTTAAGTCATTCAGAATTACAAAATACACATGAATTACATGGGTGAAACTTGCCACACAACAAGCATCTACCAAACTTCTGCTCATCTTCATGAACTGTTTCACAACTCGCCAATGAATTGTTATCTGAATAACCTTGATTACGTATTGAACTGGGACGACGTAGTAAAGTAGTGGA